CTACTTGAAAGATGTTCCAAACGAAAGTACCAAGAGTTCTGATGTTTCTAGTAGCTTCCCTGGACTATTAAAATTGGTGTCAGTTATCTTAGAACCAGGCAGAAGGGAAATAGTTGGCTGTAGAAGGTCATCTCTGGTCCACGCAGTTCACCATGCTGAGGGAAATCACGTTTTAAGGCTCAGAAAATGGTGCGCATTCCCTTTCTCATCCTCCAACTCTCCGGATGGCCGTGGCTAGCAAGTGTTTTTCCTGCATTGTGCTTGCATTTCGTTGTTCTGGTTTCGTATCTTATGAGGCAGGCCCGCTGCATCAAAGGTGCTAACCGTGTCCTTTTTTCCAGTTGAAGTACCTGCCATTCCTCTCTTTCTTGAGGTCTCCTCCTTGGAGACTCTTACTGAATGCTGCGCCCATTCGCTGCTTTCCGGCCCACTTCTTCTTATGACCAGTCAAAGACAACAGTGGAACGTGCAGACACACAACCAACCCTGCCCTCAGTGGGCTGAGCGACTTGGGTGCTTGGATGTCATGGACCCTTCATCTCGTTTTCAACATGAGGATTTCCTCAGCAGCTCAGGGGCACACTGCCACCCCTGCACTCAGCACAGCTGAGCTCACGGCCCTCCTCCCAGCCCTGGGCGCCAGCTGTGGGAAGATCTGTGAGCTGCAGGGCGGAAGAGGGACTTGATGAGTATTATTGGTTGGTGCTAAGAAGCCCTAACATACTAAACATATTTTTTAATATATTGTTTTTTTTTTTTTTTTTTTTTAAGATTTTATTTTTTCCTTTTTCTCCCCAAAGCCCCCCGGTACATAGTTGTGTATTCTTCGTTGTGGGTTCCTCTAGTTGTGGCATGTGGGACGCTGCCTCAGCGTGGTCTGACGAGCAGTGCCATGTCCGCGCCCAGGATTCGAACCAACGAAACACTGGGCCGCCTGCAGCGGAGCGCGCGAACGTAACCACTCGGCCACGGGGCCAGCCCCTTAATATATTGTTTTTTTACAAAAGATGTTGCTTTTTAACACCTTTCCTTTAAATCCAACAATTTAAATCTATGCTCTCATTTTGGGTTGAGGAAATAGAATTACATTTATGACCAATCAAGGAGATATGTGTCTTTGGTCAGGGTTCCCCAGAGAAACAGACCCAAAAGGATGTCTGTGTACATAGAGAGAGATTTATTTTAAGGAATTGGTTCATGTGATTGTGGAGGCTTGGCAAGTTCACAACCTGCAGAATAGGATGGCAGGCTGGAGACCAGGGAAGAGTTGAGGTTGCAGGTTGAATCCAAGGGCCATCTGCTGGCAGATTTCTTCATCTCAGAAGGTCAGTCTTTTTCTGTTAAGACTTTCAACTGATTGGATGAGGCCCACCACATAGTGGAGGGTAATCTGCTTTACTCAAAGTTCATTAAATGTGAAATGATTTAAATGTTAATATTATCAAAAGAACACCTTCACAGAACATCTAGAATAATGTTTGGTGCATATCTAGGCCCCATGGCCCAGCCAAGTTGATAGACTTCATCACAACGTGCTTGAGATTATCTTGAATCAGAATTTGTGTGACTTTCAAAAAAGAGGCCTCAAAACACAGAGCTACCAATGGCCTTAAACCAAGTAGTGAAAAGTGCTGAATGCATTCTTGGCAGACGTGTGCACCTCATACCACCCCTTCTCCAGCAGGACCAGGAGCACTGAGACGGGAGTCCACTGGGACCTCTGCAGTCTGCAATTGACTTCCTGCTGTAGCCTGCCCAGGCCGACACAATGAGGTATCAGTTCGTTCCAGCTCTTCACCCTCCTGTTTGCCCCTCTGTCAACAACTGGGACTCACATGTCCCTTCTTCCTTCTCTATCCATCTCCCCAAAGCCCCATGGTGTGTATTCCAGATTGTATCTCAAGGCCTCACCACCTCTTCCTGGGAACCCTTGGAAATCCAATCTCTGGACCACCCACTTCCCCATCTTTGGTTCTGGCCTCACAGAGACCAAGACAGACACTGTTTCTTTACTTCCTTTAATCTCCATGAAATCATCTGATGGCTTACCATGCTCTACCAATGCCCTTTCAAAATCTCTCACAATCTGTCTCCCTCTTTCTATTCCTACCCCTGTTGCCCACGTCTGGGCCTTCAGCATCTGGGGTCTACACTGTTCAGTAGCCTGTGATCTGCTCTCCCTGCTCCGGCTTGATCCGTCTGAGACAGGGCTGTTCTCTAAAACACAGACACAGACGTGGCACTCTTCTGCTTAAAGGCTGTTATTGGTCTCCAGAACCTTTCCCACAAACTCTAAACTTCTCAGCACGGTATATGAAGCCACAACTCTAGCTTTCCTTGCACATTCCAGACTTTTCTTATACTCCTGTTATGGGTTGAATTGTGTCCCCACAAAAAGGTATGTTGCAGTCTTAACTCCAAGTACCTCAGAATGTGACTTTACTTGAAGAGAGGGTCTTACAGAGGTAATCAAGTCTAAATAAGGTCGGTAGGGTGGGCCCTAATCGAATATGACTGGTGTCCTTACAGAAAGGGAAAATTTGGGCACAGAGACAGATATGCACAGAGGGAAGATGACGTGAAGAAGAAGGCAGAGGTCAGGTGATACATCTATAAGCCGAGGAGCACCAGAGACCACCAGAAGCTAGGAGAAAGGTATGGAATAGATTCTCATTCACAGCTCTCAGAAGGAACCAACCCTTGATACCTTGACCATAGACTTCTAGCTTCCAGAGCTGTGAGAGAATCGACTTCTGTTGTTCAAGCCTCCAGGTCTGTGGGTCTTTGTTATGGCAGCTCTAGAAAACTAAACCAACTCTCCACATTGTGGCCACCTTGTCGTTTCTCCAGTCCCACACAATGTCACAGCCCCATGCTGGTACTCACGCCACTTCCTGTGCTTGGATGTCCTTTTCTTCCCTGACCCTCTAGCAAACTCCTACTCTCAGTTTCAGTTTCCTACACTGCCCCCTTGTAGGGGAGAGAACTTTGAGCTCTTTCCCCAACCACCAATTTCAGGCCAACCTCTTGCCAATCCACAGAGGAGGAGGGCTGCTCGTCTGGTTGGTCAGAACTCCACGATGCTGCATTTACTAGAAGGCCAGGTTACAGGATGCTAAGAGGCACAGCAATGCTCTGCCACCGTTCCCTTTCTCCAGGTGGAAGAGTAAGTGAACTTGGGGCCCCCTCCCAGCTTCCTCTCTCCATGCATGCCTAAAGCTGCTGGCCAGTGCCTGCAGGCTTGTGCCATGTGACTACCCGGACTCCAGCAAGAACTCAAGATGTCAAGATTCAGATTTAGATGTTCAGGGAAGACTGACTCCTCAGCTTCATCAGAGCACCCCATGGGGCCACTGCATGCAGCTAAGAACACAGGTCACCCAGTACCTCTCCCAGAAGGCCATGGGGAGGCAGGGTGATTGGTACGGCTGGATTCAGGCACCCCTAGGTTTTTGTCCAGACTGTTGTTAAATCTGCAGGCCCCTCTATAATCCCTGACATGCCTGTCCTCAGAGCTTTTCACTCCCTTCTTCGTGTGCTCATATGCTTTGCACTCATCTCTAAGACAGATCCTGTCATAGTCTGGTTAGCTATTTACTTGACTTCTCACTTTGTTTCTTTGGCCTCCTCTTCAAAACTTGCTCCCCATGGCTAGACTCGGAGCCCTTCAAAAACAGAGCCCATTCCACGCTCATCTTGCTATCTCTGAAGCCAAACTCACACCTGGCTCACACATGTCCTAGATAAGGGGCTCAGAAACAGTTTATGCAACTCAGAATTGAGCAGAACCATAGCAAGGCAGCTAGAGGGAGTGAAAGAGAGCCACTGTGAGTGACGTGATGGTCTGCAATGGATCAAGGATGTAAATTCTCAAGGTGGCTTCCCTCCATGATGGAGTAATGGTCACCAGATCCACTGTCGCCCTTTAACCTGGACAAACTATACGAAACAATGGCTTTCAGACATTGGACAATAAGCACTGCAGGACAGTGATCCTTGTGAGAAGGGAAAGAAACAGGGCGGGCCCCACAGCTGCCCCAGTTTTCTGCCTGCAGAGGGGGACAGGCCACAGTGCAAGGAGGGGGAACCCAAGCCCCCGGTGGTCTCCTTAGTTGAGGAGACAGAGTTGAGAATTCGGGGAGGCTGAGGCAGCTAGAATTCTCAGGGTGGAGTACCAGAGGGGAGAAAGACGCACAGGAGCAGTCTGCAGAGGCTCCATCTCAAGGTTTCGGCTGAGTATTGACCAGAACATGCACGTCAGGAAACTACGCAAAACCGAGGAAAAACCACCAGAAAGGATCAGATGGAAAAATTCTCAGAGCTCGCATGCAGGGCTGGGAATAGTTCATGTTTCCCACAGCAGAGTGGAGAAACGTCATGATGCACGGAGCACTGAGTACTTGGGGGTATTGTCTTAGAAGTGAGGCCAAATTGGCCCTGGACTCGGCACTGTTCTGGTCCTGCCTAACAGAGCTTGAAGGCTGGATCCAAAAGGATCAAATGTTTCCAAGTAATTTAACTGTGTCCCAGAATAAAGTTCAAAATATTTAAAGGAATATGAAAAACTTCAGCACCTAGACTTCACAAAGAAAGTAGTTTTTTACTTCACTTATTCACCACTTAAACATCCCACTCACCACACCTTTACTGCAAACTTCTCTCTTACACGGGAAGATGGCACCATGGATGCGCCACTAGGATGTCCCCGAAGCTGGTGAGGACAGACTTGCTTTGATCCACACTCTCTCATGAGGCTTCTAGATGAAAGATGTGACACACCTCCTTGCCCAGGGGTACATATCTTTAGATAAGACATCCAATAACAAATGGAGACTCATGGCCTGACCAACTTGAATGGATGAAAATAACAAAACAATATCTGGAATTATGACTGTCTCAGAAAAATATGGGATATGTAGTCACAGCGCCCATAAGAAAATTCAGCCTATGATCTTGGCCTCGTGAGCGTCCGATCGTAAGCAGCCAAAATAGGGCAAACTGTCGAGGACTTCCTTTTCGTCTCACCTTGTTTCTTGTATAGCAGTCAAGAATGGCCCAGATTTACCACTATTGGAATAGTAACAAGAAGAGCAATAAGAATATTTATTATTGTTTGCATTTATTTTATAACCATTTGCACACTGCAGCAACCTTAATATGGTAATCACTTGATTGTTAACATGAAGAGAAAGTCCTAAAGTAAAGAAATATAAAGGACATGGTCGTTGTAACAAAAGGCAAGGATCTGTCATTTGAAGAGATTATTTTCAATTTCCAATGTTTAAGTATGGCTCTGTCACTTCAACTGAAATGCCACAGGCTGTAAATGTTGCCAGCAGTTTGGATCTGTTGTTTCGGAGGAGCTGGCCTTTGAGAACACAATTTAAGCATCAAGAAGAAAATGAAGGTGGTGAATCAGTGATGACTCACGTTGAAGCTTTGGTGTTCATACTGTGCAGCTCCTTGCACACACCCTCCTTGGCAGCAGTGAATTGGCTTTTTCAGTCTTTCTTCTTTGTTCGCTAAGTGACCTTAGCATGAATCATGGTGGGTGGTCTGTATCAAATAGAGAAATTCTTGATCATAATGAACAAAATGTCTCTTTAACTTCTCAAAAGACCCTTTAAAATACCTGGCAATGGTTAATTTGGATGTTTGTTGGTCCCAGGAAATGCCCCTCTCCTCTGAGAGATGTTCAAAATCCGGACAAGATCAGAGAATGGTTAAAACGGCAACGGGAAGTGCGAGCATGGAGCCCACCAATCTGATGGTATGTGCGTGAGTCCCGAGAACACTCTGCGTCCCGCATCTAGAGGTTTCTGAAGGCCTTGCCTGGTAACTGTCCATTTCGTCCCCTCGGCTGGTCATCTGTTGGATTCTCAACCTGGAGGGAAGCAAACCCAGCCAGGAAGCTCCCTCCTCACTTCGTTCAGGACTGTGCTGTCACATCCTCCGAATCCTACCTCTTTCCCCCCCACACATCCCCCAATTCTGGGACTTCACCCCTTCCCCTCGCCCGGTTACCTCTTTGGTGTCTTCTCTACATTGAAGGGAAAGGAAATGTACCTGAACATCACAAAGGTGCCGGGGAATCTCACCGAGGGATCTCCTTCCTCGCTCTGTGTGGCCCACACACCAGGAGCTGGTCAGGAACGTGGACTCGCGGGCTCACTCCAGGCCTACTGACAAGGTCTGCATTTGCACAAGGCAGTGCAGGTCGCTTGTGGGCATACTGACTTTGAGAAGCGCTGGGCTAGGTGACTCTCCCTAGCCTTGAGTTACCTGTGGGACTAAGAACTGTTAACGACTGCAGAGGCTGTGGGCAGGCCTAAGCATAACTGAAAAAAAAAAAGGCAAATTGAAGAAAAATATAATCAAGAGAAAAGGAAGAAGGAGAGAAGGGAGGGGAAGGAAAGAAGGAAAGAAGATGGGAAGGAGAAGAGGGATGGAGACAAAATTTATATGAACATGATTTACATGAATTTGAGTCACTTCTACAAACATGATTCTGAATGGCCAAGCGTTGTGAGCAATGCACAAGATTTCAGGTCTAATCAAAAGATACTATTAACATTAACTTGTTTTCTAGTTATTCAATCTAATAAGGAGCTAAGAAGCTTAATAATTGGGAGAGTTTCTACTGACACATGTTTCCTTTCTGTCTTTTTGCAAGAATTTGGGATACTACCCAAATGGTGGGCCATTACCCTGGGATTCTTTTGCTATTTTCAGAGACTATTTTTTTCCTGATATAACTTCAGATTTGTAACTTTATCTTTCCTTTTTATTGCATGAAATGAAGGGGCATGATATTTCAAAATATTGTATTTAGTAATATCGTTTCCCCGATCATCTCACTCCAAATACTTTGAGACAAAAGGACCAATTAGAATTTTACTGTGCTTCACCCTTTCATTCTCAGAACTGCTATTTCAATGGGCCCAGTATTTCGAAAGAAACATATTTTATATTTCAAAAGATACAAATTGATACTTTAAAAAAATTATTAATTTAGGGCATTTTTTTGTGGCTACGTGTGACCAAACCGCAAATCTTAGTAATTGGAAGAACTGTCAAAGAATGCCTCTCATCACTGCTCGTTTTACTGTTACTAGTGGAATGAAGTTCATTAAGGGAAATGGTGAAAATCCACCGAGGCCAAGGACTGCATTTCAGGCACTGCTGTATCCTCCGTGTCGCCTGGCAAAACGGCAGACACACAGTAAGCTCTTGATAAGTGTTTGTGTAATGAACCTGTACCATATTTAGTACCAAGAATTGTTTCATGCCTCAGCCAGGGGCGAGAAGGCAGAGTCCTTTCTTGCACCGTGCTCGTCACATTGGCGATGACCTGCAGCCGGAGGGGCTGAGCCTGCTGGGCCCTCGCTCTGCTTCGGAGTGTTGGGTCCTGGGTTGGATAGTGTCCCCCCAAATTCACATCACCCAGAACCTCGGAATGTGACCTTATTTGGAAATAGGGTCTCTGTAGATATAATCAAGATGAGGTCCCTCTGGGTTAGGGTCAGCCCTAGATCCAATGACTGGTGTCCTATAAGAAGAGGGAAATTTGGACACAGAGACAAGAGGAGAGTGCCATATGAAGACACAGCCGCACATGGAGAAGACGGTGTTAAGAGGGAGACGGAGACCACAGTGATGCAGCCACAAGCCAAGGGACATCAAGGATTGCCGGCAAGTACCAGAAGCTGGAAGAGGCCAGGAAGGATCGTTCCCCAGAGCCTTTGTGGGCAACATGGCCCTGCAAACACCTTGTTTTGGGGCTTTGGGCCTCTAGAACTGTGAAAGAATAAATTTCTGTGGTTTTACACCATCCAGTTTGTATAATTTGTTCCAGCAGCTGTAGGAAATGAATCCACATTGCAGCCATTGTTCTGGAGGCCTAAAGGCTACTAGGTCTTAATACAAAAGGCTTGTGGGATGTGCACTTGACTGTGGGGCAGCCCACACTGCTGCACTTGGCACCATTGCTGGCCTCACAACAGGTGGACACCTCAGCCATGGACAGTGGGCACACTGCTTCTGGCTCGTAGGAGAATGGTGAATCAAACAGGCCAGTGGGGCATTAATCCAGCAGGAGTTCAAAGGACATCAGAAAAGGTTGTTTGCTTCCTTTTTAAACATCGGTATGATTTCTTTTTTTTTCTTGAGGGTTCGAGGGGGAGGGAGGAAATAAACTTTGTGAGATCTTTTCAACTGCCCGCAGGGTAATTGGACTCAGTAAGTTAAAAAATATTAAAGTCCTGGGTGCCACCATCCATCCCCAGCGAGGACAGGCACGCAGGGCTGCAAGGTGTCAGTTAGGGAGTCTTCGGGAAGACACACGACCCAACCGCCCCTCAGCTGCCAGGCCAGGCACCCCGGGGAAGAGACCCCGAGTTCCCAGGGGAAATGGAATGATTCATTCTCAAATAAATGAAACACATCCTTAGGTTTGGGGAGATGATCGGCTTACTTGGGTGGGAATTTAACATCTTAGAAGAAATATTTCCTTTCACTCCGGTGTGGCAGGACTCACAAACTCACCACAGAATGAGAAACCCAAACAGCTGATTACACTCTCGAGGCCTGGGTGGAAAGCCAGCTCTGGGCTGATAGCGAGCGACCGTTGCACAAAGACAATTTTCAAATTCAGGTATAAATAAACGTACTATTTTAGAGCAAACCCTCCAAATTGGCCTCAGACCTACATTTGCCTCCTGGCAATTTTCAAAAGGTCTGCCGTGAAACGGAGCTGGATCTCCTGAGCTTAGCGCGGATTTCCGCAACACTCCAACCTTGCATGAGCTCGGCTTTATGCGAGCAGCAGCAGCTTCAGCTAGAGAACGTGCAAGGAACACACTCAGAGCGTGGCCACGTGTCTGACAGTTCCTAAACCACTGCGACGTTCCTACTGCATCCTCCAACGGCCTGGGAAAGAGATGACTGCCATCTGCAGCGAGAAAACCGAGGCCAAGAGGCTCAGGTGAGCCGTTGTGGAGTTGGTTTCCCTTTCCGGTCCTCCCTCTGCACTGCCCCCACCATCCTCTTCCTCATAAAGGTGGAGCCGTGCGGCGCTCCTAGGTGAGGCTGTCGCACCTGAAGGACGACCCTCATCATCCTCCCCCATGCGCCCTAGGTAAGGAAATGGAAGCGCCTCGTGTTAACTGCTCTTGTGTTGTCACTGGTGCCACCAGCGCATATTTCCCACAAACCACGCTTTATTTCATCTCCAAAACGCAGGGAGATAAAAGGCTTTTTTGTTCTATGCCATTGTTTGCCGCTGCCTCAAAACAACTTTGCAGAACTGACCGATAAGGATGGAACCTCCCATTGCTGGGATCCCAACCCAGGCGCCACGCGGCAGATGCACGCAGGCGCACTGAGGAGCAGCTCGTCAGCCTCGCAGGCCGACCCGTGAGGGAGACAGTGGATCCCTTTACGATGTTCTTACCTCCTCTCAGGACAGAGTTACTTCGAACTTGTCACTCCTGTTTATTTCTGTTTCTGATATCCGCTTCTTTTACATCTGCCTTGGACTCTTTTTCAGATGTCACTGCAGTTGTGTTTTCCCTTCATTTAAAAGAATTCCAGAGAGGTTCTTTCTCTTCCATCCTCACTAGGAAATCTTTGGTTCATATTTTCAACACTTACCCTTTTTTTAATTGTTTGACCTTCTCTTTTGTTGGAGGACATTCCTAAGACTCTTCTCCCTAGACACCCTGAAAACTATGGAAGGATTTGAGACCTTCTGAGGCCTCTCCATGAACTTCTGAACAAATGTGTTTCTGTGGGTCAGCATCAGCTTTGAATTTCAGGATCACTCACCTGAGAAAATGAGCAGCAGAACTTCAATTTAGACACTCAGATTTCCCTCCTCTTAACTCTGAATTAGGAATTTCCTTCCATCTCTCTTCTTTCTGTAAGTGGGAACAATTTAGCCATATATCTCATGAGGCTTTTGTACAGACTGATGGAAGATTACCTACAAACCTGGGGATACCAATGCACATTCGCAGGCTCATCCATCCTGCTGGGGACGGATGTGGCCCGCCAGGCTGCACCCTTCCTTCACGGAGCTGCAGTGAGATGAGGCAAGCATGTCTGGTCACCTCCTCACCTTCCAGCTTCTCTTCTCTCTTAACTCACCTGCCCTGCGCCCTCACAAACTTCTACCCTGACCTCTATGGACTCCCTCCCAAGGTAAGCCACATTCCCTTACATTTCCCTTGCAGTGTCCTTCTCTTAACTAACTATTCCATTTCCTGACTTAATGGAGTCCTGGATGATGCCTGCAAACTATTCCTCCCTCAGCCCCCTCAAGGGGTTTTTGGTAAGGACTTTGATAACAGATCCCATCTCCTGACTGCTGAGTCCTTGGTTTAGGCTTCATCATGTGAGCTTACATTAAATGTAAATGGCCTGAATATACCAATTAAAAGACAGAGATTGAGAGAGTGGATTAAATAAGTGTGGCCCAACTACACACAGAGGCATTATGCTGATTAAAAAGATGTTAAAAATTCACATAATATATGCATCCATTTACATAACATTCTTGAAATGACCAAAGTACAGAGATGGAGAACAGCTTGCTAGTTGCCAGGGTTTAGGAATGGTAAGGAGAGGGACACAGGTGTGGGGCTAAAGGAATAGCACAAGAAAGGCCTGCGTGTAACAGAACAGTTCTGTATCTTGATTGTGGTGGTGGTTAAACAAAAATACACCAGTGATAAAATGGGTTAGGGCTCTACACACACATTGTTCAAATGTTAGTTTCCTGGTTTGAAATTGAACCATAGTTAGATATGATGTAACCATTGAGGGGAACTGAGTGAAGACTACATAGACCTCTCTGTACCATCTTCACAACTTCCTATGATTCTCAGATTATTTAAAAATAAAAATCTTCAAAACACTACAGAATTTTATATATAGTATGAGCTCAACCACACAAACAATTGTATTTGGATAGCATGAGATGCGAAAAATACACATGTTCTATTTTTTTTACAAGAAAGTCAATGACATAGATCTCCATTGTGGCATTGACATCAGGGTCCCGCAGCTTTCACTGGCATCATTATTGAGCATAAATGGAGTCTGTGTCCTTCTCTGGTTTATAAGCTAATAACCTGGCCAAAAAATGCAAGTTATTAATAAGTAGTGAAGTTACAGAAGATGTTTCATGTTTTGTTTTGATGAACTATTTTTGTCTCCTCTTCCTAAACCAAAGACTTACCCTTATTTTAAAGAATGTCTTGGAGCACAAGTGGATTAGTACAGAAATACCTTTCTTATCTGGCACAGATCATCTTCTAAAGAAGTGGTAGTACAGAATCACATAAAAAGTAGGTCAACTTTCTCCAGTAGGTTACAACTCCATAGGGTCAAGAAAGATTTCAATCAGATTTGTTTCTTACAGGGAAAAGTATTAAAGTATATCTTGGAGGATATGAAATTTCAGATTTGCCAAGAGAAGTAACTTGTTTTCCTGTGCCACAGTTCTTTTCTGGATCATATGATCAGCAAGGATGTAACATATTATAGTTGACAATGTGCATTCAGCCTAATTCTCAGGTCAATATCTTGATGGCAGTCACACTAAGGATTGCACTACTGCACTATTTGTTTATTCATATTGGTTTTTTTTTTCTAATTTGAAACTCAATGTACTTAAACATATAACCCTGCACAAATATAAAAGTCAGCTTTTCCAAAATGCTACCTCGAAGTTTAGCACTTTATTTTGAAGGCTGAGATTTGCAATGCATCATGAAGTCAGCCACCTTGAAGGAGGTGATTTAACATAGAAAAAGAAAAAATTCCATTTGGTGATGAGTGTGATTGCTGTTTCACTGGTTGGCTTTTCTTCATTCATTGGTTCTATGTTTATCAGGTCTCTACCTTATTCCAGGCACTATCTGAGGTGCTTAAGTAATTTCTTGAATTCAGAAATATTAGTTAAGAACTTTGTCTATGTTGGCAAAACGGTACGGGTGAACCACCCAGGAGCCTGCTCTCCCGTGAACTGAGACTATGGCTGAACAGAATGAGGAGAAGCCCCCAGCAGTCCTGCTAGCCCTCTTGTCCTAAGTGCTTTTGGGGTATTTATCTACTAGGTACCAAGTATCCAAGGATAACCATGACACTGTCCAGGCCCTCAATGGTCTCCCTGCTTAGTTCAGGGTGAAGAGGAAATAGGTCCCATGTGACAAGTGCTACAGAGACAGAGAAATGAAGAGGGACTTTCCAGGCAGAGAGGAAAGCACAGAAAAGGAGTGATGATGTGCGGGCTGTGCCTCTCCCAGGAAACCATTAAAGGTTTGGTGTGATGGAAAAGCAGGTAACAGTGGGAACTGACAGGCAAGGAGGCGAGAGCCCACAGGACCGTGAATGCTGTGTGAAGGCACACCACAGTGGAGATGTCCAAGGAAGACCCAAGGGATGGTCAGTGGTCAGAAGGAAATATTGGGCTTGAGCACTTAGAATTCTCTTTGCAAATGTCCCTTATTAAACCAGTTACCCCCTTCTTTTGTCCTATTCACTCTGTTTCTCTAACACATAAGCACAGTCACACACACATGCATGTTGTACATTCTTAAGGCTTTACCTACTGGTTCAAATATGGGCCTTGTCCATTTCTTTACATAGTTTTATGGAAACCCAGAATAAATAAAATAATACAACTCTGTCTTAACAGAGCATCTCTGCTATGCTAAATAGTACTGAGACTACACTCGCCAGTCACAAGGAACTGTTACATTATTCTATTACCTCCCTCTAGCTTGGGAGAGAATAGAGAGAGGAGGACCCAGACAAGGGGGGCCAAGATTTGCATTACAACTCCTCTTGTGCTAGTGAAGATGCTTGCAGGTTTTTATTCCAGGTTTGATTGGGGGTCTGGCTCCAGTTGTTATGTATTTTCAGCAGCGTGAGAAGAAAACCTCACTGTTTTATCTACAAATAAACTCCCAATGCACTGAGTATCTAACCCTTGATCAATAGCTGATTCTTCTAGCAATGTCTCCAACGCATCCAACACCTGGTCCCCAGGTGGAGCCTACAGTATGGCTCCAAATGTTGGATCAAATGCTGCAGTGCAATTAACCCTGTGAAATGCTACACTTTGAACTTTATAAACCTTGCGATAGTGCTGGATACTTCCATGTGGGAGCACCTCTGGATGGCTCCATTTACTGTAAAGAGCTTCCCATTCAAATACAATACTTGTGACTGGTGATTTTCCAGCCTAGGTCCTGGGGGAAGTTGTCTCAGCCCTGCCCCATCTCTCGTGGTACCTGAGGGCTCCTTCCACTTCAAGCACACACAGGAACAGTGAGTGCTCAGTGAGCACCTGCTGACATTCATAAAAGAGAACGTTACCTTCCGTGCAGGAGGCACTGCACTGAACACGTTATCTTATCTAATCCTCACAGCGTGTCTATGGAGCAAGCACTATTTTACCCTTGATGCTTTCATGAAGACAGTGAGGCTTAAAAGGGTTAAATAATTCTCCCAGAAGCATACAGCTATTAAGTGGATTTAAATCTGATCTCCTAAGATTTAAATCCGGTTGGGCATCCCAGAGATTAATGGTGCCCATGGAATTGGCCTTTCTGGCCAATTCGCACCTTCTTAAGGCCTGAGTGTTGGCGAGCCAAGGCCTCCCATCCGTTCCACCTCCCACCCCCACCCCAGCACCCACCACCGGGACTGAATGCTGCAGGTCTCAACTCCACAGACAAGGAAGGGCTTTCGGAAACACACAGGAAACAGGAAGAACAGGACCCAGGTACTATTTTCATTTTCCTTGACTCTTTCCAACAAAAGGCTCAATTTCCTTGTGTACTATATTTCATGGGCAGCAAAGACCACATGCTGTTTTTACAACTGATGCCAGCTCTCTCCCACGTCAGTTTCTCCTGTAAACAGCCTGGAGGCCTCCCTTTCTCAATCTGGGTCTTTGTCTTTTGCCCCTCATGGTCGTAAAGAGGTGGAAGACCAGTAGCGAAAGGCGCTGGCTTTGAAGACAAAGGATCTGGTGTCACTGTGCGCCATCATTTCTTTTGTCAGAGACTTGATTGTTTTGTTTGTTTATAATACACGATAATAATAACCACCTCCCAGGGCCATTACTGCAGTGAAGCAGGTGTCCACCATTGTCCACTGTCCCTCTCTGGGGTCTCCTCTGGGATATGGTGAGGAAAGGAACTTTCTCTCAAGTCCCTCTAGAGCAGCGCATTTGGAGGCTGCTTCTCAGGCAGGGGTCTCCTTCACCGGCTCTCCAGCCAGCTGGGCCCCACTCGCTTCGCCGCTGGTTCTGGGCTGGGAACCCTGGACCTCTGTCAGGCTGTGGTGCTCTCTCCTCAGGCACCACAACACAGTTTACGTAAGTGGTTCTCAAAGACTGGATTCCACACCAGCAGGGTCAGTGTCACCTGGGAACTTGTTGAAAACACAAACTTAAGCCCCACCCCACATCTACTGTATCAGAGTCTGTGAGGTGGGGCCCAGGAGTCTACGTCTCAACAAGCCCACCGGGTGATTCTGACGCTCACTCAAGTTTGAGAACCACCACCTTCAGCACTGACTGGAGAGTACAGGTTCTACAGCCAAACTACCTGGGTCCAAGTCCTGGCTCTGCCACTGTGTGATCTTGGCAAGGTGTAGAACTTCTCTGTGCCTCAACTTTCTCATCTACAAAATGGGATAATAATAATATCCTTATGCCAGTACCACACTGTTTTGACTACGGTAGCTTTGTAGAAAGTTTTGAAATCAGAAAGTGTGAGTCCTCCAACTGTGTTCTTTTTCAAGACTGTTTTGGCTATTCAAGGTCCCTTGCAATGCCGTTGGAACTTTGTTAGGGACTGCATTTGAATTTGTAGGTAGCTTTGTCATCTTAACAATATTAAGCCTTTCAGTCCGTGGATGCACAACATCTTTCCATTTACTTAGGTCTTCCTAAATTTCTTTCAGCAATGTTTTGTAGTTTTCAGTGTACAAATCTGTCACCTCTTTGGTTAAATTTATTCCTAAGTATTGTATTCTTTTTGATGCTATTATAAGTGCAATTGTTTTCTTAATTTCTTTTTCGAATTGTTCATTGGTGGTGTATGGAATTATAACTGGTTTTTGCGTGTGATCTTGTACCTTGCAACTTTCCTGAATTTGTTTCTCACCTCTGGTAGGGTTTTGTTTGGGGTTCTTTAGGATTTTCTATATAGGATCGTGTAATCTGCAGTAAAGACAGCTTTACTTTTTCTTTTCCAATCGGGATGTCTTTTGTTTCTGTTTTCTTGCCTACCTGCTCTGGCTGAAACTTCCAACATAATGCTGAATAGCAGAGGTCAAAGCAGGCATCTTTGTCTTGTTCCTTCCCTAGGGGTAAAGATTTCAGTCTATTTAGCTATTTTTAAAAAAACCTTATTCTCCCTTTTCCTAGTTATGTACAACCTTCACGAGGTCTATCTCATGAAACCAGTTCCACACAGCTTTAATCATCTTTGTGACAGCTTTTTTGCTTAGCAACGTCACAGGTTTTGATGTAAAAATACCATTGTCTTCCTCTTATTCTAGTTTATAAATAGCTATGAGCCATGTTCGTTGTTGTCCACTCTCTACTTCCTGAGCCCGCACTGTTTGAGGTACCCTGCCTCACACAGTTCCTGCTCATTAGATATTATGAACTTCCACTGGCAGTGACATAAGCAGCCACCTGGCCCAGTTCATATTCTAAATAACGAAGTACTCATCAGGGTCATAGTTAAGAGTTCCACCCATCTGAATATTGCCTTATTTTTTTCCATCCAAATTCTCATTTCTCTGATCAGTGACATCTTCCAAACACAGATATTTTAGTGAAAGCTTGAGCCATAAATATAGTCAGTCCTGTTTCAGTTATCCATGCCTTCCAAATTTTCTTTGACACAAATTGCCAAAATTGCAGTGTTTAGAACACGCTGGGATCTTTTATTGCCTGGCTCTTATCACTAATGTCTGCCCAAAAACATGCTTATGAAGGGCATTCCCAAGGAACAAATTAATGTTGCTCTAGCCCTCCCTAGATTTAGTACATCTGTTCTGCACTCCATTATAATTTTAAAATTTCAGGGTAGGCAATGTTCTGGTGCGACAAAATTGCCAGGGGACTCCACACAGCCCTGAATGCTGCCAGACAGTTTGAAATAACACATCAGTGAGTTTAGAAAGACCCATTTTTAGAATACAAATGGAGCAAAAAACACTTCATTCACTTTGAGTCAGGTCCAACACATGAGGCAAAAGATGACCATCAAAGACTATGAGGACAAGAGAGCATTAGGACGCCTACAGCCCATCTACTCCAAGAACTGTGGGTATTTCGATAGAAAGCCCTATATTTCTTGCACATCCACTGTGTGCCAAGAGCTGTGTTAGGAGCTCTGCATATATTATCACAACTCTAAGAGGAAGAGTAGAAAGAGTAACCTCTTTTTACTAATGAGAAAATAGGCTCAAAGATAAATAATTTGCCTAAAGTCACAGATCTAGTGCATGGCAGGACAGAGATTAGGTTTGGGGTCTTATAACAACATCTCTCCTCCTTCCCCCATTCCAGGGGTCAGCAAGCTAGGCCTGAAGGCCTAATCCCACCAACCACCTCTTTTTGTAAGCAAAGTCTTACTGGAACACAGCCAGGCCCACTCATTCAGGCATGGTGTGTAATGACTTCTGTGCAATGGGAGAGGTGAGTGGTTGAAACAGGCTGTGTAGTCCACCACGCCTAAAATATTTACTATCTGGCCCTCTTCAGAAAAAAATTTTTTTCAGGCCCCTGCCCTATGTAGGAGGACCTTCTCTTACTTCTAGGTTGTCCTGCCTTTACCTCGTTTTCATCCAGTAGGAATTCTAGAAAAGTCTGCGATATGCCCTAAGATAGTGGCTCTGGCACACTCTGAGAGCTGACAGAGACAGACTCGGGAGGGCTGTTGCCCCATGTAGTTTAATCGCCATCACCACTGAGCAGCTGGCCCAGCACAGAGCCAATCTTCAACATCATGGCAGTCATCCCCAGATGATCTGTCGTCAGGGCCACCTGCAACATGGAAGCACCTAGACCAAGGGCACGCCTGCAGCACCAGGTGGTGCTACCCCATCAGGCGTCCTTTCTGCCTAGGTCTCTGTGACCACAAAGTGTGGCCATAAGCCTCAAACAGCCAGGACTGTTCCTGTGTCTGGATGGACAGTGGACTTGAACAGCGAGGCCTAAACATGTGCCTTATTTATGGGTCACTCCCTCCCCAGCTTTGTTTTGGTGGTGACTCGCTGCTGGTGTGCAAGACCATTTACTTGTGAGTTTGGAGACTACCAGTCTAGAGATTTATGGCACTTAGTAGCCAGAAGAGGAAGCTGTAAAGTGCCTGACAGAGCAGCTCTAAAAATTAAGGCTTCTGTTTCCTGAATCCACAGGCTGAAAATCCTTAAACCCTGCCGCCGGCTTAGCTTTCCTCCTTCTGCACCAAGCTTATTCATGCATAATATGGGAAAGAAAGGACAGGATGAATTTAACGCAATCTTGTCTGAGAACCCTCCTCACTCTTAGTTCCTGAGATGAGGTAGAATATTCCAGTTTCCTGGGAAGTTCATCACGAAGCCATTTGAGAAGGAGCAGGTTGCAGGGAAGAAGTCAGGTGTCCTGACAGCAGCCCAGTGTTTCACCAGGCTGAGGACAGGCCCGGGAAGGGTCTGTTATTTGCGTTTGGAGATATCTAGGGTCACATTGTGCACTTGCCATGTACTTGCTGTCTAACCTGGACCACACATAAATTCTCTCCCTCTTGGTTTTTCATGTCACAGCATTTAACGATGGAAGTTTTGTAAATTGTAGGGTACTGGGCCAACCCTACAACACAGTTCGTTCTTTCTTCACTTTTGCCATTCTCCTCCTTAAACTAGCTGAGCAAAGGGTAAGGCCAAGGGTCTTGACAAATCTGAGGTAAGAAGTTTAAACTGGGGGACTTTAGGGCTCTGAAGAGCAAAGAGACATTTATTTAGGGACATCATCAGCTATTCAGCTTCATTAATCATCTAAGCTGATTTTCTTAAGTATGCGTGACATTGGCATGGAGGACTCTTACTTTCTGGAGTAGGAAGAAGTATTCTCTCCTTTGCTGGGTTACTTCTGCTCAGAGCTGGTTTCCTCCAGACTTGTCCAGAGCAAGGGCCAGAGTTCAAGGGTGAACGTGTGGCATTAGGTCAGTGTCGTCTGCATTTCATTTTAAACGTAATAAACGGGCTCACTGAAAGTAACTTGACATCCACATGGAGAAAAAGAGTAAAACTAATGATAGATAACACCAATAGTTGACATCTCGTCTTTGGTATACGATGTGGTCCTTTTATTTTGGGGGCCTCTGATACCTTGGGAATTCAAACATTTCAAAGAGGTGACTGCAGTCCTAGGAAGCCCAAAATCAGAAAGCCGTGGAAACTGTCCAACTTCCCCGTCCTGACCTGACCCTCACTGCTTCCCTTCTCCTGCCGTGTGTTTCCACGCTTCATAACTGAGGGTTCACATCTTCAACGTTTACAGGAGACTTGCTTCTCTTTCAAAAAACAGAACCATAAAAATAAACGCTGGAGTTAAATCCAGGCGTGCGGCCACCAGGTGGCAGCGGAGCCTAAATGACAGGCTCCCGGCTCCTTCGCTAAACCCAACTGTGGGTGGGGCCCCGGCAGGAGTTTACACATACACATACAACACATTTACCAGGAAGCTGGGACTCCGGGGTGCAAGCCGCGCACTCACAGGCACGCGGCTCAGCAGCGGCAACTCAGGTGGCAGACGTGGCCGAGGGCACGGAGGCTGCGCCAAGACAGCGAGTTCTCAGCCGGACGGTTACCGTGCGGTAAACGTGGGGACCCGCCGCCCTCTGCTCCTGACCTGGCCTGCTCAGAGGCAGAGGCCGGGAAGGCGTCCCCGCTCCCCGCCGGCCCCACAGCGCCATGTGGCCGCCCCGCGTCGCAGGGTCTCGGGACTAACACACGCCGTCTCCCTCCGCAGAGCCACGTGTCCGATTAAACCAAGGCGAAGTTTCCCGCTATCTGAGCGAATTCTGGACACATCTTCACTTCTGGAGCTCATTTTGGACACGAATTCGATAAAGTTCCCTCGACGCTCCCGCTTTCCAGCAGGTCTGTCCGCACCGCGGGCTTCCTCTCACCAATAACCCGCTTCTTCATTTCCCCGGGGCCGGCTCCCAGCGCCCCAAGCGGCTCAGACCTGCCCCGGAAGAAGACGCCGGCCGGCCGCCCAGGAAGGGCCAAGAGGAGGGCACGGGCTGTGGGGTTCCCCACCCCAGGGAGCCGGGACTGGTGCTGGACCTCCTCCTGCCCTCACGGCGGCTCCAACCAGCAGCCACTCGGCCCCACGCACGTCTGCGCCTTCTCGCCTCCGCCACCGTCCTCCCCTCGCAGCGTCCAACTGAAGGACGTAACCAGTCACGTGAAGCAATTCAGCCAATCACAGGGCAGAACGTCAGCCAATCACGTGGCCCCTGTCAACCAGTAACCTGGCCGTACGTGAACTTGTCACGTGGCCTCCACCAGTCACGTGGCTGCCTGGCTTCGGGTGGGTAAACACGGCGCCCGCCTTACTGTGAATCGGTTGTTTGTGTTTCAAAGAGTTTTCTTGCCCCTTTCTCCTGCGCAGTCCCCAGGGGAGTCCGGGTGGACAGGATGCTGCTGCCCTACAGGTTCGGGTGAACGAGGAGCGCGGCGCTGCAGCGCGATATACCCGAGGCGTGTTATGCAGTATCAGGCCGGAGGGGGCCGCAGGGGCCTGGAGGCGGGCGCCCCGCCTGGCGCGCAGGTGGAGTAAGGAGCTGAGGGCAGGAATGGATCTGTGATTCTTTAAAAATAGACTCTCTCGGGCATTGCCACTTGCCAGCACGTTCAGGCCCCCAGTGGAAGCTTTATTTCCCCTGCTTCAATTCGGCGCCCCCGGCTCTCCCCTTGATTGCAGTGTTTTCAGGCCCTCGACGTCCTCTATTAGCCTCGGCCTTTTCTTGGGTTTTCCTTTGCCCTCTTACATTGAAAACAATGCCTTAAAAGGGAGACAGCTGAGATTTCTGCAAGACCAGTTTCATCTCAAATTTCTCGCCTGCAAGGAAGAGGGAGAATGGGCCCCCCTGACCGGGCCGAAGCAGTGTGACCGTCTTTAATAAGTCCAGACTGTTCTTTACCAAAAATCTATGCTTCCTTCTTCTCGAGCCGCGAGCCCTGCTACCCAAGACTCCAGCCCTCAGTTTTAGGAGGGAAGAGAAAAGACGGCCAGCGTGAATGGCTGTGATGTTATCTAAACCTTTGAGCTCGCTCCTTATCAGCTCCAGAGCTCCCAGCCCCAGTGCTGCCCGGATTGTTTTTTGAACAGTTTAGCACAGAAGGCAGGCTTTTCTAAGAGTGAAGGCCCGGTGAAGAGGACCCAATCCGCGAAGGAAATTTAAATTCCAGTCCACTAAGCAATCTTTTGCAAAAGAGCCCTCTTTCCCAAGCTTGCTCGTTTTCAGGAGCAGCCTCCTCAAATTGCTGAAGGCGCTTCTCCCACCTCCATGCGGGAGATGCGAGATCCCCCGCAGGGTCCTCTTCCCCTCCACTTGGGACCGCTCTAGCCGTGTTCCTAGGGTCACAGAGTTTGTAGAAGTTGCAAAAGTAAGACTTTGTTTGTATTCTTTTTCTTAGTTTCCTCTCCTCAGAAATTGTAACAGTCCCAAGTTCCACAAAACCTGGATCTGAGCCTGCTTTCCTTTTATATAAGGCATGCAGATGGGTGAACGCTGGGCTACAGAAAGAAACTATTACAACTCCTTTCTCTCTCCTTTTTTTTTCTTTTGTTTTTGTTGTTGTTGTTGTTGTTTTGAGGAAGATTAGCCCTGAGCTAACTACTGCCAGTCCTCCTCTTTTTTTTGCTGAGGAAGCCTGGCCCCGAGCTAACGTCGTGTCCATCTTCCTCTACTTTATATGTGGGACGCCTACCATAGCATGGCATGCCAAGCAGTGCCATGTCCGCGCCCGGGATCTGAACTGGCGAACCCCGGGCCGCTGAGAAGCAGAACGTGCGAATTTAACTGCTGCGCCACCAGGCCGGCCCCTTGCTCCTTTTTTTTTAAGCCAAATAAGAAAATCAAACTTTACTAACACCATACGGACTGATTCCCCCATCCCTCCCTGTGCTTGCCCGACAGGCACAGACACCCCTGAAGAGAAGATAAAGGCCCACAGTGAAGGTTGGGGGCAGGAGAGGCTTACTAGCTGGTTTCTTTTGGCATTTGGTCTATGTGCCTAGGTTACATATGAGAAGCATATTCATTCTTACTACTTGCGCTCAAAACACAAGTTGGAGTGAGAGCAAAGAAATATATTTTTAGGGGCCAGCCCAGTGGCTTAGTGGTTGAGTTTGGGCCCTCCACTTCCACAGCCTAGGATTCGCTGGTTCAGATCACAGGTTGGAACCTACATATCAGTTGTCAGGCCATACTGTGGCCACATCCCACAGACAAAATAGAGGAAGATTGACACAGATGTTAGCTCAAGGCTAATCTTCCTCACCAAAAAAAATTTTATATATATATATATATATTTAAAGTTAAGATAAAATAGTTTAAAAATATTGTTTATTTTTATCACACCCTTTAAAATGTGTGTGATTATAGTAAACAAAGCATGTTAGTGCAGTAATTGTACATATATATGTGAGATCAATAAATTATTTGGGTAGGTGCTCATTTTTTTTGTTTGTTAGAGGTACACCATCAAAAGTTTGGAGCTTACAGCTTTAAAGTATTGTGTTAACAATCCCATCTCCATGCAGAGGAAAGGAAACTAGGGCAGAAAAAGTGTGCTACTAACTTGTCCATAGATGTTCCTTAAATGAATGTATCTCAGATTCACCATTTGGATTCACCAGCTACTCTCTTAGAATGCAAAGTTGCCTGTGAGAGAGAATCTCAAACTGGGTCAGCAATGGGCTAGTCATACCTTAGTATGAATTACTGCAATCAGTTCCTTGTCTATCAGCAGTCAGGCACTGTTGGAAATGAAAGATGGGAGGAAGGAAAGAAAAGAAATTGGATGTTACTCATTTTGGATGATGGGTGTTTGATCTGAAAGTGCAGTTTCCGTAGGACACCATTCTGGGCGAGCTGCTTGCGGGCATGTGTGTGTGGCACCAAATGAAGAGAGAATTGAAGAAAAAGAAAGAAAGAGAGTAAGACCTCTAAGAGAGTAAGGACCTCTAAGTCTCTTCTCTGCTTCCCTTGATGTCCAGGCTGTACTCACCATCCACCCTGCACCCCAGACCATCGGGAGGGTTCCGTTATGGAATATTCCATTTCAGTTACCTCCATAAATAAAGGACGTACGCTGGAAATGTCAATACTTTGACTCTGCCTTCCAGACACATATTTACTTCTGGAAGCAGCCCAGAGGTCCTACATCAGGCTGCACACCCTGCCTCTGAGTTTGGAAATATGACTGTCCCACTTGTGGGATTTTTGGAGCTTCTGATGAGTGCACATCTTGAATCAGAGAGCTCTAGAATATTAGAGCCAAAAAACCATTTAGAGAAAGCTTGCAGCTTTATTTCACAGACACGGAGAGTGGGTCAGAAAGACTGCAGGGAGTGCGGACGGGCCTGCGGTGGGTCTGTGATGGGAATTCCCGTGTCATCCTTTACTGCTGGCCAGGGTTTTAGGCAAGAGCCTCAACTCCCCCAGCCTCCGTTTCCCTGCAGGTCCTGTTTCGGAACTATATGTGTTACTCGGGATATCCCACGTGCAGACGCTCAGCGCAGTGTGCTGCACGTCAGCCTTTTAGCCGTGAATACACACTGCCTCTCCTACTCTTTGGCCCAAATCATGAGCTAATTGGGTGTAGTCCTGGCCCTAAAAAGAAATGCAGGGTATATAGGCCTGTACATGATTATTACAGAATTTCATTCTTAATAAAAGTGGTCCCCATTGTCTCCTTAGAAGCAGGAATGTATAACCTTTAGTTTCCCCTCTTTTTAAGTTGCTAATATTTAAAGACTTTGGAATAAGACAAATTTATCCAAAGTTGGCCCTTTGAGCCAGGCCTCTTGTGTAGGTTGCTGCACTTACAAGGAAATGGAGCTTTTTACTTTGCTTGCAGGAAAAGTCAGCTGTGCCAGGGGTGTGTGAGCCCAGAGGCCCTCCGTGCGGTGGAGTCTCACCTCTGGCTCTTGCTCACAGAGCCCCTGCATTCCAAAGTGTGACTGCGGAGTCCGCCCTCCAGAGCAGAGTCAGCTTCTGTTGTGATCGACCCAGACAGCTTTAAAATATGGCCCAAGTCCTGGTTTGTTGTTGCAACAGTATCATATTTATTTAGGTGGGACTTTTTTTTTTTTATTTTGTAATCTAATTTAAAATAACTTTAGCAGTACAGATAAAGGTCATTCATGTTACATTTGGTTGTGTAATATGCCAGATATTATTTTTTAAACATATAACAGTTTTTTTTCCTTCTTACTTGAAGCCACCTAGATTTGTTTTTGTTTTTGTGAAAATGGGTCCTGCCTTCGAGGAGCCCTCCTTACTTTCTTTGGAGATTGCCGCTGGAAACCCAGATCTGGCTGCTGGCTGTGCACATGCATTGCGACCAGAGTCTCATTATTGTTTTAATATGCATTTCCTTGATCAGAGAATTTGAAATTGCTCATTTATTGACTTTTTTCCCCTCCTTCCTCTATAATATATTGTTTGTCATATTATTTGCCTGTTTTTCTATTAGGATGTTTATCATTCTTAATTTGTAAGGAATCCTTAAAATTTAATATTAACACTGACATAATTTTAGTACATAGTTATCCTATTTGGTCATTGGCTTTTAAATTTTACTTTTGTGTTTTTCTAGCATACAGAAGTTTAAAATTTTTAGGAGTCAAATGTCTTTACCTTTTACTGTATATATTATTTTACTGTTACACCAAACAGGTACATACTTACTTACAGACTTATTTCCTTGTCTTGTGGCTTCTTCCTTTGTTTTTTCACTCCTTCTTTTCAAGTTTATGTCTAATTATTCTTGAATTTGTTTTGTGAAGTAGTGCTCTAAATTTATTTTACTTAATTTTATTTGCAAAGTATTAACCATTGTGTCACTGATTTAAAATTTTATTTTTATCTTTAATTCTTATAAACACTCTGGGCTGTGTCTTCTGCCCCACAGATGCCTGCCTATGGCTGTGCAGCTGTGCACAGCACAGCATTCTCTGTATATCTTAAAGTACATTGTATTGTATTGTTAATCATAGTAGTGCAGACATGCACTTAAGGAAAGGTTCGAGGCTTTTCTGAAAAACAACAGCTCCATTTCACCCTCCCTCACTCCATTCGTATCCATCAGAAGAAATATTTCTAATTATTTTAGTGGACTTTTGTTTCCTGCTAATTTTCTCGGCTGTTCTTGAACATTATTTCTTCAAATAAACTTTAGAATTACTTTGCATAAAAAAAATCCTTCTTAAATTTTATTGAAATTTGTTAAATTTAAAATAGTTTTGAGACAATTAATTTCTTTGTAATACTGATTATTTTCTGAAATGTCTTCCCATTTGTTAAAATCTTTCATGCCCTTCATTGAATTTGTGGAGTCCCCGCCTCCACATCCAGGCCCTCTTTTATTTTTTTTTCGCTGGGAAAGATTTGCCCTGAGCTAACATCTGTTGCCAATCTTCCTCCCTCTCTCTCTTTTTTTTCCCTCCCCAAAGCCCCAGTGCATAGTTGAATATTCTAGTCATAAGTCCTTCTGGTTCTTCTCCCACAGTTTGGCTACTGACAGACGAGTGGAGTACTCCGCCACTGGGAACTGAACCCAGGCCACTGAGGGGGTGAGAGCGCTGCACTTTAACCGCTAGGCCGTCAGGGCTGGCTCCAGGCCCTCTTTGATAATTCTTCTTTAGTGTATCCCTAAGTATTGTGTGTGTATGTATGTGTGTGTGTATTATTCAAATATCAAAGATATACACAAAAGACATACTTTTCTCGATGTGTTTTTCATAAGAATAAATTTGTGGGGCCAGCCCCATGGCCGAGTGGTTAAGTTTGCGTGCTCCGCTTCGGCAGCCCCGGTTTGAATCCTGGGCGCAGACATGGCACCACTCATCAGGCCACGCTGAGGCGGCGCCCTCATGCCACAACTAGAAGGACCCACAACTAAAATATACAACTATGTACTGTGGGGATTTGGGGAGAAAAAGCAGAAGGAAAAAAAGAAGATTGGCAACAGTTGTTAGCTCAGGTGCCAATCTTTTTTTTTTTTTTTAAGATTTTATTTTTTTCCTTTGTCTCCCCAAAGCCCCCGGTACATAGTTGTATATTCTTCGTTGTGGGTCCTTCTAGTTGTGGCATGTGGGACGCTGCCTCAGCGTGGTTTGATGAGCAGTGCCATGTCCGCGCCCAGGATTCGAACCAACGAAACACTGGGCCGCCTGCAGCGGAGCACGCGAACTTAACCACTCGGCCACGGGGCAAGCCCCTCAGGTGCCAATCTTTTTTTTTAAAAAAAAGAAGTGTTTCTTCTAGTCATTTGTTTCATAGACACTTGCCTCAGCTGATACAGAGTAGAATAGTGATAACAACAAGGCAGTGTTGAGGGTGACCTTGTTTCTGGGCCACCACCTTTCCAATAGCAGTACTCAGAGTCATTGCCACCAATTGCGGACATGCCACATTGGTATTGGTATCCAAAATGCAGAACCTTGGGTGATACTTTATTTATTTTAATATATCAAAATCTTACAGACTTGTGATTCCCTTAAATCATTGTGGCCCAGTAATTCAAGATTTTGGATGCTTTCTTTCTGAGATAACCAAGAAGCTTGGGCAAAGATTCAGGCAGGTCGGTTTACATGAGGGATGGTGATCTGTGATGGTTCCTGCCCGTCTCAGGTCGTGTTCTCGCTGCCAACAGGCAGGCCCAGCGCCCACACACAGACGTGTCCAGCCTCGGGGGGCACGCACACGCTTTCAAACAGCCGCCTCCCTCTGTCTTGAAATCCAGCTTGAAGGTCTCCTCCTGGTGGAGGTCTTCCCCACCCCACGCGGCTGGTTTGCTCCCTGTTCTCTCGGTGCTTTATCTTTGGCTTATTCTTCATAGCGTGGATCACGGTGCAATCATATGATTCTTTGTATAGTTTTTCTCTCTTATTCAGCGTTCTGTGAAGGATACAATCTTGTCTCTTGTACTGTTGCACTTGCTGCGCCCAGTGTGAGCACACAGCACATAGCAGGTGCTCAGCGAACATTTGCAATGAACAGGGTGACGTTGGAACCGCCTGAATGCCGAGCAGTTGGAGCACAGGTAGGAATGCTTTTCAACCAATAAAATTTTTATTTTCAGAGATTTTTAACGGCAAGGGAAATTGCTTCTTTTCATAATATTAGGTTTGTGCAAGTCAAAAGTAAAAATAGGTACAGGAAAATTGCTGGAAAGACATCAAATCATTCGCAGTGGTTCTTGGTGGCATGGAGAACTATGCTTTTGTGTGTTTACTTTAAAATGGGCATGCATTAGTTTCATAGTCAGGAAAAAGGGGTTTTTGTTTTGTTTTTCAGTTGATTTAGAATATTGTAGGCTAAGTTACTGGAAAAAGTCCCTCTTAGGAATAGGAAAATTGGAAGTAAAACCAGGTTTTGAAACAGAGATTTCAATAAAATGATATTTTTAATGCTCTGTTTAAAAAGAATCCTGGCTGATCAGGAGAATCGATGGTAAATAAATTGTGATGTATCTGCCCAATGGCCCACTCTCCAGCAGAGAAATGAATGAATTACAGCCACACGTGTTCACATGGACAAAACCTGCAGGAGAATGTCGAGGGGAAAAAAATCTATGATGCCATTCATAAAATAAAATCAATTTATAATGTCAATTCCATAAATTTTAAAAATACATAAAAATACTGCTTATTGTTTAGAATACATGAATGTATTGTAAAGGTGTGAAGAAATATAAGAAGGCCATGAGCACTGAATTCACTAGAATGGTTACTCTTGTTGGGGGAGGAGATTGTGCTTGAGGAGAGAGAAATGGGGCTTTGATTTTTTTAAGTTGAGTGGTAGAAATATGGTGTATTATATAATTCTTTGTACCTTTGTGTATGTCTGTAATGTTTTATAATAAAATTCCAAAATTTCATAACAAATTTTGAAATAAAAGCAAAAATGAAAGGAATCCTGCTATTAATTCTTTCATAAACAAAGATTCTTTTGTAAATATGAATAGTACACTTTCACCAGTTTATAAATTCAGATTCTCAAAGGCTCTCCCTTCCCTGCCCCACCTCCCTCCTCCCTCTCTCTCTTTTTTCTTTCTTTCTTTCATTCTCTCTTCTTTTTTTGGCTTTATTTTAAGGTAGTTTACTCTTTTTAACATAGATGCTTTTATTAGGAGAATTAGAAATCACATGAAAACCAACAAATAGCACTTATTTTGTCACTTGGCATTTTAGTCTTGCCTTGCATGATTGAGAGAACTTTTAGGATTTTTCTAGTGCTTTAATTTACAGGTAATTTATATTTCATTTATGCAGATTTCTAACTTGGCAGGCACTCCTAGAAAGCAAGCAAGTAAAAGAAATATCCTTCTCTGGCTTTATTGGGTCACGATTGATTTCCTTTTTCAGGATCAGCAATTTGAGAAAACAGATGAACTGCACTGGCTTACGAATTTCTGACGACTTGCACTGTACCTGCTGGGCTCCTGACCGCGTGAAGGGCGAAGGCTGGCCTCACAGCGGCCGTGCCCCCGGAAGCGCAGTGCAGAGTGCCGCGCAGCGCCCTCCTGACCGCGTGAAGGGCGAAGGCTGGCCTCACAGCGGCCGTGCCCCCGGAAGCGCAGTGCAGAGTGCCGCGCAGCGCCCTCCTGACCGCGTGAAGGGCGAAGGCTGGCCTCACAGCGGCCGTGCCCCCGGAAGCGCAGTGCAGAGTGCCGCGCAGCGCCCTCCTTCGGTGCCCCAGCACAAGGGAGGCGGGCGAAGGCTGGCCTCACAGCGGCCGTGCCCCCGGAAGCGCAGTGCAGAGTGCCGCGCAGCGCCCTCCTGACCGCGTGAAGGGCGAAGGCTGGCCTCACAGCGGCCGTGCCCCCGGAAGCGCAGTGCAGAGTGCCGCGCAGCGCCCTCCTTCGGTGCCCCAGCACAAGGGAGGCGGGCGGAGCTGCCCTGCAGGTGGCTGAAGTTGCCGTCCTGGAAGATAGATGCTTCCATCCGCTGTGCCGTAGGTGCAAGTGCTCCCCTCGCAAAGTGCTATTCCATCATAACCTTCTTATTTCGCGCCAGCTCTGGGGTTAATGTTTGTCTGCTATGTTAGGGGAAATAATAACTGCTTAAATGCAGAGAAATACATTTATTTGACAAACCTTTGTGCTAGAGAAACCAAAAAGAGGGGCTCCTTGACCTGGTGCAGAAGCAAAGCCAGTCACTTAAGCTTCTTGCTCTTATGCTGAGCCGCTGATAAGCTTCTCGCCTAATTTTAGCCAAAAGGTTCAACTTCCACTCCCCCATCTTACTCAGAAATAATTTCTTTCTTTTTCTTCCATCAACATACCTGTGAAGATATCAAATAGCAGCAAAATTGCTGAAAGGCAGACAGAGCAGAGGAGGAAGGACCCTGGGTCATCTTGCTAACTGGGAGTCAAGCCTCAGATCACTGAGCATTAACTGCAGTGCAAGAAGTCATTCTGCTGCCTGTGTCGTGGGCTGAGCCCTTCCCCCACCACGGGCTTCTCCAAGAGCGCGTGGGCACACTCACACTCAGCACTCACACTTACGTTCATATACACACATTCATATACAAACATTCACACATTCATATACACCTACTCTCACATTCACTCACACTCCTGTGTATACTCTTACACCCTACACACTCGCCTTCATACACACACAAGCACACTCCCACACTTGTACACACAGCCCAACTGCCCATGCACAGTGCAGCCTCCTGGTTGCTCTGCTGCACGAGTCTGGAACAAATGAGAAGGCTTGATTTCCACATCCCATGGTTGAGAACTGACCCACTTAAGCTGTGTTTATGAAGATAAAGAGGTGAGCCAAGGAAATGGCCCAGGCATAGAAAACCTACCATACGGAGCAAGATCCTTGTGACCCAGATTCCCGCCTCCGTGGCCGCGATGCCCCGAGCAGTTGTGTGTTCCTCCATTTCACCTTAGCTGAGAAGCTGGATCCACGTGGCACACTGAGCCCGGCCACCGTATGGCTGATGGGGATGTTTCAGCTGCCTTGAAAATTGATATTGATCACTTCAGAAGGCATCATCGGGCAGCGATTCATCTTGATGGTTAAAATGGCCACAGTGATTGGACTCCCCACGCACAGCTGCATTCCACACGCCAACCTGATCTTGCTCTTGGGATTTAAAGGTCAAATTAAAATCGGTCACCCAGCACTGCAGCTTAAGTGCCCAGGTTTACAACCTAAATTCTTGTCATGTGGCTGCAGAGGTCACCAACAGCAAATAAACATCCTGTAGTTTGGGGTAAAGCAAGAGGAAATATTAATTTAAGAACTAGAATTAAACTGCAAATGTCCGGAACACCATGTATGTAAAGAACATGTTACATTTAAACCCAGAAACTGGTATGGCATGAATTTGGGTTATTTTAATTTTATCATTTTTGAAAAAGTCTCATTTGCAAGTGGCAGGAGATAATTATTGTGAAAGATAAGTTGGTTTTGTTTATATTCAAGAACCAACTCAGATTAAAGTGATCTTTTAAAAGGGCTTGAATAGAAGAATAAATCAGTATTGGTGTCAGTTTGTCTTATTTCAATAATAGTCACTATGGAAACAAATCACTGACCTATTTCTTTTCATACCTCCAAGTAAACAGTAGGGCTCCACTTTTCCGTGTATCCTGTTTCTTTTGGACAGGAATTTCTGGTACAGAATGTCTCTAAATCACTTTTTATTGAAACGTATAGTTCTTTCCTACATGCTTATTTTAGTTGTTTTAAACATTCTCAGCCTCATTGTGGATTTCTACTGTGAAAGGCAGACAGAACGCTCAGCTCGATCCCTCAGCATCCTTCTGGCAGGCGCTCACCAGCCTTTGCTCGGAGGTGGAGAACCCAGTGGCTGCCGGATGCAGATGTCGGGCCAGCGTTGGCTCAGACACACCATGTGATGCCCAGTGTGACAAGTCCACAGAGTTTCACTTTAGTTTCTTTTCCATCCATGCCAATCTGTAATTACAGACAAACAGGAATGTCACAGAAGGTCATTTTCCACATTAAGCTGCTGATTCAGGAAAGAACAAACCAGATATTAACATGTGTGTGCTCCCTTCCTTGTCCTCAACCCACATCCTAAATCCATTTTATATTTGGCTGAAGCCAGAAGTTGCTAAATATAGAGGTTGCACTCTCATGGCACTCACGAGTCACCCGGTGGGGCTGTCTGTGCGTCCACATGCCCAGTCTGCCTGAGCCCGTTAAAGCAGCGAAGTGTGGCCCTCAGCCCCAAACCACCTCCCAGCCCTTGCCTCCGAGGACACACTCCTGTTGGAATATCAGAAGGAAGTACACCGTGTTTAACTGGATTTATCGCCTGCTGGTTTTGTGGCCTATAAAAGCGCTCCTCTTCAGTTGTTTATTGTGTGAGATGGAAAATTACAGAGACATTTTTTTAAAAGGCACACACAAAAAAAGACCAAAAAAAAGACATAAACCCCAAACGGTGCTCCACACAGCTGCAGTGCTCGCCAACAGAGCAACGAGACGAGATCTGCAATGCTCTATACAGCGTGTTACAAACAGTGGGAGTAAAATGGCCATAGTGATGAATTTTTATCTGACAAATCTATTTTTAAAAATGGAAAGAGTTCTGACCTAATATGGTAGTGCCCCAAATGTGCCTCAGTTATCTTGGGAGAACTTTTTGAGATTTCACTACAAATACTACTTTCCTTTTTTTTTTTAAGGTATGCTTTTTTTTTTTTGTGAGGAAGATTGACCCTTAGCTAACATCTGTTGCCAATATTCCTCTTTTTTTTTCCCACCCCAAAGCCCCAGTACACAGTTGTATGTCCTAGTTGTAGGTCATTCTAGTTCCTCTATGTGGGATGCCCCACAGCGTGGTTTGATGAGCTATGTGTACGTCTGTGCCCAGGATCCAAACTGGCAAACCCTGGGCTGCTGAAACAGAGCACGCAAACTTAACTGCTCTTCCATGGGGCCAGCCCCCAAATATTACTTACTTTCTGCTCTTACAGCATATGATTTTCCAAACAGCCATGTCAAGATGATATCAAAGCCGTTGTTTGGAAAGTGGGAAAGATGGCATCAACCTGAAAACTTGGTGGATTGCTTGTAAACATGCTCCCATTCTCCACGTCTTCCTTTGTCCATGCCCTTTGCAATATGACTCAGCAGCTCCTCTCATTAAGAGGTAGAGTCTGTTTCATCACCCTTCAAGTCTGGGCTGGCCCTGTGACCCTCTTTGATCACCAAATATGGCAGAAGTGACAATCTACTAGATCTGAGCCTAAGCCTCAGGATGTCTTACACACTCACACTCTCTTTCAGCCACTGCCACAAGAACAAGCCAGGGACAGCATGCTGCAGGATGGGAGAGCACAGGAGAAGAACCGGAGCATGCCAGCTGACCCCCAGCTGACCACACAGTCATGAGGGAACCCAACTCAGACAGGAAATCCTCCTAGCAGAGCCCAGCCAAAATTGCTGGCCCATGGGATCATAGCTAAATACATTATTCTTGTTTTAAGCTACTAAGTTTTGGGGTAGTTTGTTACACAGCAATAGCTAACTGATACACCTTTTCTTTCTCACTTTACCAACTCTTCCATCCCCCAGTAGGGGCTTATCATTTGCAAAACATCCTGGTCAAAGAATCAGGAGACCTAGCTCCCGGTCCTGACTCTGCAATATTTAGCTATATGACCTTGAATAAGTGCTGTTACTTTTCTGAGCATCAGTTTCCTTGTCTATATGTTTATATGTCGATATTTCTAGCTAGAGCATCTGTGTGAAAGACACTGACAGAGCAGCCTGAATTCTCCCACTCAGTGCCATGAATGCCTGTAGGTGGCACGTCTAACAAATCTATTCACATTATGAATACTCCGTTTGACTCATCAGTCCCACTTCTTTGCCCTTATGCTATGGAAGTTAAGACACGAATATACTAGTATTTGTGTTCAAGGATGTCTTGTGCAGGATTGTTTGCGTGGCAAACATCAAGAAATAAGCTGAATGCCAGTCAAGGAAAATGGTCAGACAAATAGTGGTATATTCATCCTATAAAATATTATGCAGCTACTTAAAGAATTCTCTGGAGGAAATTTCATGATGTATTTTTTTTCAGTAAGAGAAGCAGGTTTCAGATGTAATGCATTTTTGTGACAGAAACAAAACAAAAAAACTCTTGAATGAGTATATAGTTTTTATGTAATTGTTTGGCCACTGAAAATGGTTCAGAAGGATGTTGACCAGGCTGATTGCCCGGGCTGGAGGCAGAGGTTTATAACAGCAACAATGTTGAAATAACCTCAGCATTTAGGTATGAGGGTTTAGTTAATTTAATTATGGCACATCCATACAGTGAAATAATATTCAGCTGTTAAAAATAATGATACATAATACATGAAAATAATTCTATAAAACATAAAAATAATGATATTAATGAACATGAAACAGTCTGAAAGGAAGTAAATGCATGATCCCACACCTTAAGAAAGTCTTTAGGACAGATGCACGCCAAACATCCACTGTAATTTTTAATGATCGTGAGCTTATGAGTAGCTTACCCTTATTTTTATGTCTTTAGGTTTTCTAATTTTGCTAAATTAACATGTATAAAAGGGGGAAGAGGTGGGACAGAGGCAGAAACGTTTAGCGATTCAAAGGCGTTGAGTAAAAGAGACAGCAAGAGCCAAAGGGGACTGGATCCTGGGTAAACTCAGTAACAGCTCCGACTAGGAGGGAGCTGGCAGTGGTTTGAATTGGAAATGGCCTGCGAAAGGCGGCTTGAGATATTTAGCTAGTAAGTTGAGTGACTGGCCCTCTATAATGTCTTTGGCTCATACAATGTGATGAAAATGAATGAGATAATTAATATTTATCAAGTGCTTTTATCCTGCAGAAAAAGCTGTTGTATAAGATGATCCTGGCTTTCTCAGCTCAGTCCTCTCATCTTTCTTCAGATGGGCCTGAGCAACCTCTTTCTGATCCCCCGTTGAAAGCTCACTTGCTTATCTCCTAGTGGTGTTTGCTTTTTTAAACAAGAAACCCTTGATTGGAGAAAGATATTACATTCCTTTTTACTGTAAATTGTATAAATCAAAACAAGATGCTGTTTCTACCTTCTGAGACTACATTTGTACTTAGATGGATGCTTTTCTTCAAAATATCCGCCTTGAATAAACTCTTTCTCAGCCAAGGTCAAAGGCCCCCAAGACAATAGGACTTTCTAGTGAAGATGAAGGATTTAGCCAAGACTGACTGAAGGTGACTTAGACCAGCGTGCGCAGTGAGGAGCCAGAGGAGACGGCCCTGTTGCCACAATGCGGCTTCCACCCACCCACATTGACCTGCCGACTGCCAAGCAACTCTCACCAGAGCCTGGACCCTCCAAGGAGAGGAGGTACCTGGGTACGAGCCCCACTGATGATCTGACCAAACCAGTTGCTGGACAAGTTAGGACGGAAAGGAGCATCCCCGAGCGTGCGCGTCTTCGGGTGAAATGTGACGTTACCTCTCCCTGCGGGTGACCATCTCGCCCACTCCTTAGTCTGGCAGATTCTGTAAGGGCTTGTGAGTGGATAACATGCATCCTATCGCACAACTCAGTACGTTATCATCATTTTTTTTTTTATTCTGTGAAAAAAGAAAAAATCATTGTTTCTTCCACTTAGACCCATCATAAGTCTTAGTACACTGAAAACAGTCCAACTACAAAAATGTCATCTCAGGACACAGAGCCATTGGATCAGAAGTTTAGCAGATTTTTTTCTCCCTCGTTATTCTGGATGATCCAATAGTAACTGGCTCTGTAGGTTTCTCTGCGGGGGCCCCCACTGTCGTACATATTCCTTGCTCAACAATCATCCATGGTCATTTCCCTGGAATAAAAAGCAGATATATAAGGTTGCTTCCTTTTTCCTAACGTTGAAACTTTGTTCTCAGTTGCATCGACCTTGCTGTTCAATCGTTGATCCTGGCTCTCTTGTTTTACTTTTTTTTTGGTGAGGAAGATTGGCCCTGGCATCTGTTGCCAATCTGTTTCTTTTCTTTTTTATTCTCTCCCCAAAGCCCCACTACTTAGTTGTATATCCTAGTTGCAAGTCGTTCCAGCTCTTCTACGTGAGATGCTGCCGCAGCACAGCTTGATGAGCGGTGCATAGGTCTGCGCCCAGGATCTGAACTGGCAAACCCCGGGCCTCCGAAGCAGAGCACATAAACTTAACCGCTCAGCCGTGGGGCCAGCCCGTCTTGTTTTACTACGTTATACATATATTTTATCAGTGTGAGTGGTAGGGCACCATGACTATTTGCACGACAGGAATGAGCTCTTGTCAGAAAAGAAAACCCCCCAAATTACTCTTTAAAACTGTACTTCTTAAAGGCAGTTATTGTTTGGGGGATGGTTTGTGGCCAGAATTAAAATTTTTTTCCCAAGAAATTACATTCCAAAAATAATGGAAACAATCCCAGAGCTGAGAAGTGTTGCCCTTGTTTAACTTCAAGTAGTCACAATTGTCCAGTTGTGAATGTGCCCCTTTTCTGGGCAAAATCTTGGAGTCAGTGGAAAGCTGGTCCTGGACTCCCCTGGGAGAGGACACGTGGTCAGATGGAGCATCTTCCTGCTGGGAAGCGGGTTCGAGAAGGGCAGGCCACGAAGCTGCTAGCGTTATAGTCTGCATAAAGCAGGTTTCGAATTAAAAAGTAAGCCTTATGAAGTATGCTGTGAGCTGCGTCACGTTTTGATATTACCAGTGTGAGTAAAATAACGTTTTTTAAGAAGTCAAACTCTCAGCACAAATGAGAAAATTACTGTCGATGTCGTTCACTGACAACTCCACGCCCAGCGTCCATGAGAACCGATGGATGGCAGCTGCCTGTGGGGCTGTGGTTGACCTACCTGCGAGTCAGCTACACGAAGCCCAAGGCTGTGTTAGAAGCAAATGACACAAAGTCTATTTTGAGGGTGAACTACTGAAAGGAACTTGACCAAATGCTTACATTTCAAGAACAGAATCCCGTCATTGAGGGCTCAGAAATAGGACTGGCAAGACACAACGTTTCTCGAGGTATGCGGTTTGTCCAAGGCATCCCTGGGCCTTCCTCCAGGAAGCTCCGGAGGGCCTCCGTGTGCTCATGTGTTGTGTAGACAGTAGTGCAGAAAGAACGGACAAGACCCCGAGCCCCTGCAGTCGGGCAACTCATGGAGGTGACACTACTGGTGCAGGTGATCACAACTCATTCTGGTTGCAATTTGTGCTGGGTGCTCTGAAGGAAAAGCAGAGGGTGCTGTGGAAGAGGATGACAAGCAGACCTGAGTCCCACAGGGCAAGGGGGCAGCTGAGAAGGCCGTTGTCATTGACATGTGAGCCAAGACCTGACACATAGCTGGGACCCCCTCTGCCCACAGTACTGCGTTCTACCTGCCCGCCCTTTCTTGTTGGAGGTAACATTTGGCCCGTTTGATGCCTGTCATCAAAGTTTCCCACAGAGTAACACCTCTGCGCCAGAGCACTTGCCAAGGGGTAATCCGAGTGTGGGCAGCCACTGACTAAAGCCAGAAGTGAGAGATGAGGTTTCCATTTGCATCTTTCAGGCGTCACCAGGCCTTGTTGACAGCACTGTTGGCATTGAGCAAACACGGCATCCAGGCTGCGTTTGACTGGCTCTGCACAGGAATTCATTCACAGACGGGAACACCCACCTCAGGCCAACTCACGTCGAGGAGTCCCATCAGAGACGAACCCTGCTCAACGGCAGGTGTCCGAGGCACTGCTGAAGGACCTCACACCGGCGTTTAAGGAAACGGGACTCCAAGCACCCCCCCTTGGCCCTTGTGTTTTACTTTTATCTTCTCCAACATGTGTTTCCACCAAGCTTCTAATTAGCAGCTGTATTCCAGGTGGTGGCATCAGATGGCACTTTAGGGCAGTGAGCCATTTATCCAGCGTTTGTATCTGACGCTGGGACTCCGTGCACTGAAGCCACCAGTGAGCCATCGCTTCTATAAGCTTTCATAAACCTCACATCAGCAAGGTTGGTGGGGTAACTCCAGCTTCTACCATGAAAACGCTCATCAGCCAGTGTCTAAAAGAGATTTGAGAGTAATTTTAACACACCTTTCAAAATATTCCACTTTAAAAGTGGCATTTTTTTTTGCACTAGAAATGAATCAACACTTTTGCATCATTACAGGATAAAGTATGATCTATATGAGAAATAGAAAAGTTTGACATTTCGGTTTACTTTTTATAACTAAACATGTTCTCCTTGTCTTACGTGTTAGATCCACTGTCTTTTGCCACTTCTTCATAAGTGCCCCTGCTTAATCCAGGTTTCTTCAAAGTAGACATCAGACCAGGGCTGGAAGCCTTTCAGTAACAAACACACATACCAAAGAAACAGCAAAGTAGTTCCTAGATTATGCACAGTCATTTGTTGCATGGCTACTGTGAAGCGTGTTCTTGGTGAGATGTGCTTGGAATCCATCGTTCAGTGTTCGCAGCAGTGTTCATTTCCTCATCTGGGGCTTTGTGACGGTGTGAGCAGAAACGCAGATGACGTGCACCCGAGGCGTCTCTCTAAGGATGAGCTCTGGAGTAGGAGCCGGAGGACCCCCAGTGAGGGAGCGGTTGGGGACCGGGGCTTCCCGAAGACGGTGGCGGAAGGCCTTTCTCAGCCCGTCCCATGGTGGGGGCTGACATCCATATTGGGAAAACCTGAGGTGGAGGTTGGGGGGACGAGTCAAGGACTGCTTGTTACACATGCACACACACATACACGGACACACGCACCCAAGGAAGGGAACTGCAGGGCTCTGTGGTGCCACCCCTGGGCATCAGCACCAGTGTGGTCTCACCACCCTGGGGCCCAGCAGTGTCAGCTTGGAGCCAGAGCAGGAAGAAAGAGAGCAGATAGGGATGGGGACCCGGGAGTCAGAGAGAAGCTCCTCAGGATTCACCTGGTCTCCAGAGATGTCTGCCTCCCTCCTTCACCCTCTCTCTCACAGCCTTCAGCCGTCCAAACTGTTCTGGCCATTTCGCTCTGCCAGACACTGACCATCCCACTGCCCTCTCCCTGAAGACAGCTTCCTTCAGGGGCTGGCAGAAGGGGCTGAATCTGGGTGAGATTTGGGTTTTCCTGGCAATCTGTCTTGCTGCTCACACTGCTTCCACGCCCAGCCCCGCACTCCTCTAACTGGGGTGGACTCAGGAGAGGACATGGTGGTCCTGCACAGTGTGGTTTTGGGGAGGATGAGGTGCGACCCCTCCTTCTCCAGTGCTGGATCGGGACCGCCCGCTGGGAACACCACGAAGAGAAGCAGACAAACCGGGAGGATGGCCTTTCAGTTCCGGGGTGAGGGGGAGCAGTGGGGCAGGCAGACATTTTTTACATCATGTTGTGAAGACCCCAAACCCTTCCCACAGCATCAGTATCAGACACTAGGAATCCAGGAAGGCGAAATCGGCCTCAATAACGCCGGATACAGCTGGGATTTCACTAGGCCGTCATTCTGGCCCGTCACACTCCTGCTCTTCAAAAGACAAAAACACCAGTGCTCTGCGGTACCAAGCGCCTTTTCTCTGAGAAACACATGGACCAATCAGGGGCGAGCTGAGTCGCTCCCAGTTCCCACAGGCTCCTTCCTTGCTTTGTTCAGACCTGCCTACCCCAATTCGGTGCAGTGGCCATTCAGAATTCTCTTCCTCGGGACTGGATGTTTCCCAAGCCCCCTTCTTACGAAGTTTGCTTCTGGTATCTTCCTTACCATCAAAAAGTCAGGAACTGAATAGTCCCTGGACTTGGTCCCTCAGATAAGGGTGCATTTGCCCTTGGAAGGGACAGGCCCCTGCTCCGGGTGCATCACACAGACTCTGATCCAACTGCGCCCACCCGCTTTCTACCCCCTGGGCTGTTGTTGTGACGTCGTCAGTGTGGCCTACAGTGTACGTGTGTGCGTGTGTGTGTGTGTGTGTGTGTGTGGAACACTCATCATATTTTCTGATAACATCTCCGAGCAGACATGTTATCAGTGGCCAATAAAACAGGGCCTCTTATGGAAAGCCCGGGAGAGCTGCACAAATAAGGACCAGCAGAGCGTCACGTTAGATGAAAGCTAATGAAAAATGACTTATTAAACAGTGTGCTGTGGACGGACAAGCACTCATGTCTCATCTCAGGTTCTTCAAAGAGATGCACTAAATGTTCATTCCCTGGTGAGTCACGATTTACCTCTGAAACTCACAAACAGATCCTCAGTCCTCTGCCCCACTGTGCCCTTTCTCGTCACCTGTTAAGCCCTCACACTGAAGTCATTCTGCATCCTTTAAGCCTGAGTTGTTTAGAAAGCCAATGGATTACACAATTTCATTTCAAGGACTTATTCTCAGAAAAATGACTCATATTTAGGTAAAGAGTGTGTTCACGTGAGCAATGAGTCATCCCCACCTGTTGGCTCTCCCTTGCACAGCACAGCTATCCGTGTTTGGGGGGAGAGAAGACTCGAGAGTGCCTGGTGTCTCCCCCCCCCCCGCCCGCCGCCACGTGCACTGGGGCCCCCACAAAAAGCTGTATTTGAATAGACTTGACCTAAGTCAAGTTTTTGAAAGTATCTTTTCCTGGACTTATCGGTGTTTCCATTTTTTTTTAGAACAATGAAATCACAGTTGCAACACCCAGAGCTTGGGCTTATAAACAACTTTGACACAATCTGTAGTCCAAGAAATTTGCATTCCCTTTAACACAATAACTTATCCTGGCAAGATCTGTTGACGTCAATCTCCTTTATAACTCTTATTTGTTGGCCAAAGGAGGGACGTACCTCTGTGTTATTGTCCTCTAAGTATGGGATCTGGGTCAGTCTGACCTGCAAATTGATAGGTGGCCCTGGAACTACCTGCACGTTCTGAAGAGGAAGAAACAAAACACATGGTTACTATGGGCTTGCTTGACTCCAGGATCATGCAGTTTCACGAGCTCCCAGGAGATGGCATCCACCTTTGGGAAAATAATCTCTAAGCTACTTCTGCTTCCCTCTCCCAAGGCACCCAGAGCGGGCAGCTTGCAAACCTGAGGGGCCAGTTGTGGAAAAGGAGGAAGTAGGAAATGCCTTGGTTCAGCTTGGTCTTTTCTTGAAATCTGTGTTGCTCAGAGGCCCCCCTGAGGTATGAGAATGACAGTCACCCACCACAGAGGAGACGGAGCAGAGCGTTCGCAGAAGGCAGCTATGGCAGCACAAAGTCTGGCCAGAGAGCAACGTGTGATTTAAAAAATTGTCTCACATATGTGTTGGGATCATCACATTCTTTTTGGAAATTAAACCACACTGGGGATCATCTGAGCTCTAACACAACGTTTAACCGTTGTTAACCCTCAAGAACAAAAAAAAAGACCGCCTGTGTTTGGGTGCCTGACATGTTTGTGAGGCTGCTGCACAGCCCGCTGGGCCTGGGGGTTGGGCACAGGGAGGGCGGAGGTCACCCATCCTTGGGCGCTCATGATGGGCCAGACCCCCTCCAACATGTACACCTGCACATCAGATGATAACAGGGAAGGGACTGTGCGTGTAAGGTGTTATCCCATTTTGTAGGTACAGAAACCAAGTCTTGAGAAGTCAGTCTGCAGTGAGTATCACAGAGGAGATGGGAGCTGGGGTGTCGATCCTGGAGTGAGCGCTAAGCCTGCCTCTTGCACATGGTTCCCCCAATCAGCACTCAAAGCGCCGTCCCCAGTGGGCTCAGGATGTCCCAGAAAGCCACGTCACATGTGTGTCTCTCCGTGAAATGACTGCAAGCACTCTTACCTGGCTGGGCCAGGTGTCTCCGTTCCACTGCTCCACTTTCTCAACATAAGCCTTTCGGGAAATTAGCAAAACCGTAAGCAGTTTGAAATCTCACTTTCTACACTTTTATTTCAAATAGAGAAAATGGTCCAACGTTGACATCAAAGTTTGCAGTTGGTTGTAGGGTCCTTATACCCATAGCCTGGTCTAACCCAGGAGGACCAGAGATGGGCTGTCATTTGCAGTTCTCCCCAGATCTATGGTCACTTCCCCTCCTGGGAGCATCAAGGCCTGTAAGGTTACAGGCAGGACACACAGCAGCGTAAAGCAGACGATGCCATTTGTCTGGTTGTCACAGCAGGTGCGTTGTGGGTGCAGTGTGTGGAGGCGGCCATGGGGGAAATGAGTGGTAGGGGGTCTTTACACTTGGGGCCGGATGGGTGTGTGCAGCACAGCACGGCTAACGATCATTTATTCAGAGTGTCAGGGACAGCCTTGGCAAAAACCACAGACTTGTAGGAAAAGAAAAGCCTGCAAGTTGGGCACACTTCCATAATTCACTCATGTGCAAATTATTTTTAAAAGTGCAACATCAGGAGGAGTTACAGCTACTCCGCAAATCACTGTCGGGTTGACAGAGCAAAGGCTTTCTCTGGATATGAGTGATTCAGCAAAACGCCACAACTTGGCCCTTACGGAATCACAACTCATAAAGGGAGGCTTCCTATCAATTAGCGAGCAGAGATGCAGTCTTCTCTTTTCCTTCTCAGGCCTCTGTGAGACGTGCTCACGGACTGTGAAAGGACAACACAGCAACGCAGAGAGAATCCCTACCTTTGGTGGGCCCCGCTCATCAATTGAGAACGGCTTCAGTTGGAAAGCATCTCGCTTATCTCGTAGGGGTTTGGGAGATGGATGTTAAAGCTCAGAAGGCTCCTGTGTGCATAGGAGGAAAGCAGAGATTGGTGACATCACAGAACTCGAAAGGAACGGTGGAGAACACTCCATTTAATCAATCAATCAGCGTTTGTGGGGCACCAACTGAATGGAATAGAAAATATGGTTGCCAGGTAAGTCCACCCCGTTGTCTGGTCTCCTGCCCGGGATGGAGCAGGGGCCATCTGGGGAAAACAAGAGAAAGGGGGAGGAGGGAGCCTGTCCGAGCATCACCATGTCGTGAAGGACTTGACAGTCCTGCCTCTTTGGCCTTGAGCCCACCCTGTGCACCCCGACCATCCCCCATCTGGGGGAGCACAGTGCCCAATGGTGGGGTCTGAGGGGTGGGGGCGTGAGAGGGAGGGGGGAGACGGTGAAAGGTACGAGGTCTCACTAAGTAATGTGGTCCTCAGTCCCAACAGGTCTATCTAGTGGGTTCCCCCTCCTGGCGGGCTCCTGGGGTCTGCCTACAAGGAGACTCTGGTGGGCTCACCCGTCAGCCTCAGGATGTAAATGGACAGATGTGAGCCCGGGAGGGACAGAGCTAGGGTGAAGAGAGGCATCCGTACAGGCTTCAGGAGGAGCACTGAAGAGTCACACACACTGACACAGTCGTGGATCTTCTCAGGAAAGCGGGAAAAGTGACCTGTGATTAGTAGTTACCAGATATCACACTCTCCCGCATCATGTTAACAAAGTCGGGGGCATAACTGGGTCAAGGACAGGAAAGGAAGCGGGCGCAATGGAAAGGAAAGGAGCGGTGACGACCAAGCAGGAGCAGCATTCAGGTGTTCGACAGCCCCCAGGAGCACGGTCGTGCTGGGCAGATGGACACATGCGGTCATCAGAGAGGGCCTTCCCCTGGGGCAGCCCTAGACTCAGAGGCACCCAGAGACTCGTTACAGGATCACAGATTTAGAGTGACCTCATCCTAGAAACCATCGTTCTCCCCCCGGCTGGTCAGGACGGGGCTCCCGACTCCTCACTCTCCTCCTCCTAAGAACCCAGGGCCTTCCTAAGGCAGCCCCTAAATCAGTCGTCGCTCCAGCTGGGCCGAGAATTTACTCGAGGCCTCATCAGGTTCTTACTGACTCTTCCCTGCTTCTTAGAAAGCGCCAGGATGTGGCAGTGATGCGAAACAGTGAAACAGGTTAAACCGGGATGAAGGGGTTACCAGGGCTGAGATAAAGGTTATTCAGACACCCTTCCACTCATCCAGGTCCTGATAGTTCGTATCAACAAAATGCTCAACCAATACGCTGCCATCCTGGAGCTGTGCTTAATCTCTGTTTGGGACTTTGAAATAAGAATGGCACCATTTGCCTACAGATACCACTAGTGACCACTTTAAGATTCTGATAAAAATTACCAGTTGTATTTATCGTCAGAACCAAGGCTCTGATGCAGAGGTCCCCAGCCTCACTGCCACTGGCGATGTAACTGGTCAGGTGTGTGGCTGGACACCGGACAGGAAAAGGCCCCCCAGGTGGCTCTCATGTGCAGCGCAGGCTGCAGACAGCTGTGAGATGGAAGAATAAAGCTTGATTAGTGTATATTTGCATGTCCGTACATTTTTGATTTGTTGTATTTATAATTACAAAGATAGTTATCATCTGCTTCATGGGAAGTATATTGAAGTAGAAAGAACTAAAAAAAATAGTTACACACAACCTCATTACCCAGATAGACCCACTATTAATATTTTGTCATATTTCCTCCTGGGTCTTTATTACAGTTTTTTTAAGCATAATTGAAATCATACAGTATATGTAATTTTAGAAACTTAAAAAAATTTAACATAGCATAAAAATTTCCTCATGCATTAAACAATTTTGTAAACACAAAATGTAAACACAATTTTTAATGGCTGTGGGAAACTGAAATATATGGATGGGCCACACTTTAAATTTTTCCCTCTTAGATTACGATTTTAATAATATTAATATTGGTTCCTGCTTACTGAACCCTTACTATTTCTAGGCACTGAGTTTAGCACCACATACAGATTCTCTGGTTTTAATTCTCAAATTGATCCTATGGGGTGAATACTATTGTTTTACCAGGATTAGAGGTGAGAAAACCAGGACTCCATAGGGACTAATTGTCCCGATCAAGGAGCCAGGCCAGCTCACTCAGCTGAGCAGGATCCGCACCTCGATCTGGGTGACCCCATGGCCTGTGCCCCATGCTCAGACTCCTTGAACCCCTCCCAGGTGGCCAGCCGTTTGCAGGCACCAGGGGCTCAGAGTCGGTGGAGGGACAGAGAGCTGGGTCTGCTCTCCAGGACCTCACTGTCCAGCAGGGCACTAGGACAGACACTCTCCACTGGTTCACTTTGGGGAAGTTACTGGACCTTTCCAACGTGTCTCCCCTCTTGTCCAATGGAGGCACTAAGACCTGTCGTGACCATCACAAAGAACAGTGAAAATTAAAAGCAAATGAGTGCACTTCTCCGCAGGCTATGCCGGGAGCCTGGCAGCTCTTCCCGGTGGGGAGGAGGACCAGGAGGAAGCGGGAGCCGGTCGAGGCCACGGCCCGCTCAGTATTTCAGAAACAGTGTTGGGCAGCAGCCATCCTTGTACCAGGGGTTTGCAAACTTCGGTGCTAAGAATCACCTGGACAACAGAATATTATTCAGTCTTGAAAAGGAAGGAACTTCTGACACATGCTGCAACATGGGTGGACCTTGACATTATGCTGAGCGAAATAAGCCAGTCACAAAAGGACAAATGCTGTATGATTCCACTCACAGGAGGTACCAGGAGCAGTCACATTCATAGAGACGGAAGGTAGGAGGGTGGGTGCCAGGGCCTGGGGAAGCAGGAGCAGGGAGCTGCTGTTTAATGGGGACAGAGTTTCAGTTTGGGAAGATGAAAGGTTCTGGAGACGGATGGTGGTGACGGCCGCACAACAATGTGAATGTACTTAATGCCATTGAACTGCACACTTCAAGATGGTTAAATGGTAGATTTCATGCTATGTGTGTTTCATCACAAGAAAATAAGCAAGCACCGGAGTCGCTCTCTGTTGAACTGGGCTGTGGCGTCGCCTCCGAAGAACTGAAGTGCAGCCTGGGTGCTGATCCATCACCGCAGGTGGATGTCAGACGGTTGCTTGAAGAGGAGGAAATGAGGGACTGCTCAGACCCAGGGTCCAAAAAAGGATCACCTGGGCAGTGACACGAGCCATCTCAGAGGACATGCACTAAACCTAGGCTTTGCCACCTTGTACGTGTTTCTCAAGGTGTGGGCCGAGCACCAGGATCCGCTCTGAACTGCTGGAGGCATCCTAGGGCTGCATCGCCCGCTCCTGAACTAGCGCCTCCGAGACCTGCATCCTGGGAAGTTCTGCCACTGCTTATGCGCCACCCTCAGGTTTCACTTCAACACTGGGTTCCAGAAATTTATGACGATTGAAAACACCCGACACAAAATAAACAGAATTTCAGTCGTGAGAGATCCGGAGTTGGAGTTCCCAGACCCCTCTCGACAGGGAAGGATGGAGCGGAAGAAAGGATCGTGAGCTCCGTGGCACGCAAAACAGTGGCGAGCAATGAGAGCGGGGAGATAGAAAGCCAAGGAAGGCTGTTCCTGGAGTTTCAAATACTTTACAGCCACAGGAGCTGAGGCTGGAGTCTGCTAACAGCCCAAGGAAGGGCAGTGACAGCTCTCTTAACCGGTGGTAACTCACTGGGCAACCTCGCTTAGCAGGACCAGGATCCAGAATCAGGAAGCAATTTTTTAGAAAAGCCAAATTAAATATTACAAAGTTCATGCACTAAATCTTGTGCCTTTTGCTGATAATAGAGCCCTTGGGCCATCACTTACCACCTACTCACTCTTCCAGACAATCCTGCAAGCCTGGTTCCTGGACTTTCCAGCTCACGGTATATTAGAAAGGGAAAACCGGAGGAGGAATTGAGGGGAGCTGCCCAAGATGGGTGAAGGCAGCACCGAGACCCTGACAGCAAAGGAGGGACACGGAGCATTACACAGGACTAAAACAATTAAACAGCTTAGTGGTCCAAGTCATTTACTATGGGCAAACAATATCGTGTACCTATTATGGGCGCCCAAGAGAAAATCCCAAATGGCGCCTGAACCATCTGGCTCCATGATGGAATGGATTTTCCTTTTTGTTAGAACTGTTGTGATGACGATTAAGGACATTTGCTCCTGCAGAGGGCATCCCCACTCGGCTGCACCTTTTTCTGGACAAGAGGCTGAGGGGCAGGTGAGTGCTCAGAGAATGAGCATCAGCCTTCAGCCCCTGTTCTGTCACTCACGTGTGTTGGGGGTGGAAATCGCTCCTTCCTCATTGTATGAATTTCCTAGGGGCTTTCATAACAAGTACCACCACCTGGATAGCTGAAAACAACAGGAATTCATTCTCTCACAGTCCTGGAAGCCAGAAGTCTAAAGTCAAGGTGTTGTCAGGGCTTCACTCCCTCTGGCGGCTCTAGGGGAGGATCCTTCCTTGCCTTTTCTGGGTTCTGATGGTTCCCAGCAGTCCTTGGTTTGTGGCCACATCACTCCAACCTCTGCCTCCCTCTTCACATGGCTGTCTTCTCTGTGTCTGTCTTCACATGGTGTTCTCTCTGTGTCTAATTTCCCTCTTCTTATAAGGATACCACACATTGGATTAGGGGCCCACTCTACTCCAAATGACATCTTAACTAATTACATCTGCAAAGATCCTACTTCCAAATAAGGTCACGTTCCGCAGTTCTGGGTGGATGTGAATTTGGGGAACCCTGTGAGACCCGGTACAGCCATCCCTTCTTCTCCTTCCTACCAGCTCGCAGCTTTCCCACAACATCCCTCGTCCTTGAGTGAGGATGAGGGGGCACCAGATCCTCGTGGCCACTGTTTTACAAACATGTGATGTGGAAGTCAGCCTGGAGTCAGAGCAGCCAGACTTCCAGAAACCCCATCAGAGCTGCTTTCCAAATGTACCCAGCACCCCCGTTGTTGCTGCACTTGAGGCTGCCAATCAACCTCCTCCCCGCTGTGCCAGCTCCCTCCGTGTGGGTTTCCTTCACAGCCCCAAGTGTCTCAAGCATGCCTCCATAGCCCGTTGAGGAGACGCTGGCCCGTCTGTCTCCCAAAGGAGGCAAAAGGAACTTTTCTGCTGTAGGAAAAAGTGATTAAAAAGGCACTTGGAGGGGCTAGCCTGGTGGCGCAGCAGTTGGGTGCACATGTTGCACTTCGGTGGCCTGGGCTTCGCTGGTTCGGATCCCTGGTGCAGACATGGCACCACTTGGCAAGCCATGCTGTGGTAGGTGTCCCACATATAAAGTAGAGGAAGATGGGCACAGATGTTAGCTCAGGGCCAGTCTTCCTCAGCAAAAAGAGGAGGATTGGCAGCAGATGTTAGCTCAGGGCTAATCTTCCTCAAAAAAAAAAAAAAAAAGGCATCTGATGTATGGCCAATCCATCTGTCATTTGCCCATCACCCAAGGGTGCAGGCCTTCAGGACAATTGCAGATTCCTACTTCTGAGCGGAGGGCTGAGGGCAGTATCTGTAATGAATGTATTTTGCTGTGAATATAGAACATGGGAAACCCCTCGACAGGCCCCAGTCCCTGGGAGTCTTGAAAGAGCCGCCAAAATTAAAAGAATCCAAATAAGATCTGATAGAGAGAGAGGGGGCATCCTTAACTTGTGCAGATCCTGAAACAACTCTTCAGTAATTCCTGGGAGACGAATGTGTGGAAATAATGATAAAGAGACGTTAGTGTTCATAACAATAAATCATCAGAGGCAATTGCCTCCAAAAGATCTATTTATTTATTTTCATGAAAAATTGATCAAAATTTTGAAAGGTGAGGACTTGAGTTATCTGAAAAGTTTATTCTTAGAACATTTTTGAGAATGTCAAATACTTTAAAAGTTGCCTAATAGCACCTCTGTAAATGTATGCATTTGTTTGTGAGAAAAGAGGAACCCATTTGTGGTGTTTCAAATAAAGGAGAACATGTGTGAACTGAAATCTTTATTCAATACCTATCTATTTCTTTTTTCCCACTTCTCCAATAAAGAAACAAGAATTATAGTCATGCGTCATTTAACGACGGGGATACGTTCTGAGAGAGGTGTCATTAGGTGATTTCGTCATTGTGCCAACATCATAGAGTGTGCTTACACAAACCTAGATGGTACAGCCTGCTACACACCTGGGCTCTATGGTACTAATCTTATGGACCACCATTGTACACGTGGTCCATCATTAACCGAAATGTCGTTATGTGGCTCATGACTATATATGAAGAACAAGATATTGCTTATTGCTGATATACAGGATTACATGAGTGACTAGACGAAGATTTTTCTCTCTAATTCTAAGTCTTTACTCCTAGGTTATAGCCAAGAGAAATAAAAACATATGTCCCCACAAAGACTTGTATACAAATGTTCATAGAAGCATTGGTCATAACAGCCAAGAAGTAGAAACAATCCAAAGGTCTGTCAACGGACAAATGGATGGACAAATTGTGGTCTATCCGTACAATGGAGTGTGATCTGGCTATCAAAAGGAAAGACGTACTGACACAGGCAACAACATGAGCCTGGACAATGTTATGCAAAGTGAGAGAAGCCAGACAAAAAAGACCACACGTTGTATGGTTGCATTTATATGAAAGGTCCAGAACAGGCAAATCCTTGGACAGAAGGTAGATTGGTGGCGATGGGGTTGGGGTGAGATAATGGGGTGTGGCTCTTTACGGGTACAGGGTTTCTTTTAAGAGGGACAAAAATGTTCTAAACTTAGTGGGGATAGTTGCACAATCCTGTGAATATCTTGAAAAGCACGGAATTTATACTTTCTGTGGGTGAATTCAGTGGCATATGAATCAGATGTCGATGAAGCTCGCACGAGGAGATCAGAATCAGTGCATTCAAGCGTTTTTTCCTTTGAGATGTTTCCACGTTTTCTTCTGATAATTGTCAAAATTATTGGATCTGAGACTCCGACAATTTAGATTTTTTTTAGAAATTCAGACGGCAACTTGTGCTGCTGTTAAAATAGATATTTCAAGTTTCAGCAAGTCTTGCTCAGTCTTCCTGAGCCACAAACCTTAAACAACAGCTTCCTTCACGTCTTCACTTTTCTCTCCTGACTTCTGATCCCCACCCACAGTTATAAAAAATATGCTACTATCCTGACAACTCTTGTAAAATGCTCCTAAATTAGGGAACATTATTTGTGGCTCTGTGGGAGTATGACACTGACAGTGTAGCTGGAGAGTGATGGGTGGGTGGATGTAGCAATTGTGAACATTTTGATGTCAGGTAGCAGAGATCCCTTGCTTTTAAATTTCATGAATGCAAAATGCGCCTCAACTTTGAGCACTTTGGACACTAACTGTAAAAAGTGAGGGGGGAAAATATCTGTGTTATGTTGAAAGTCACTTTACCACATCATAACAATCACTTCTTTGAACTATTTATGGTAAAAAGAACATTTTGTTGCATCCAACTCAGAGATGACAGACTCTTGGATCCCCAGTTCCAACCACAAAACAGCAGGGCCTGGGGATATGACGCCTGTTTCGAAGCCATCCCCTGGGATCCACCACCATCCTCACCGCCATATTCAGAAGGACATTAGCTGCCTCATGCGCTGGTTTCGGAAGTCAAGGAGCTGATGTAACTAAGTTGCCTGGGACAGTGTGTGCGATACAAAAAGCACTTACTCCATGTTAGCTATCATGACTATTGTTATGATTACTATTATGGTTTTTTCCCCTGCTCACCTAATAGCTCTTACAAGAGTCCTGGAACTGAGCCTCCTGCCTGTCACTGGCTTGTCTGAGTTCTGTGTCTGCCCTCGAGGTGGTCCTGTCCCTGGCTGGGAAATGAAATGCCTCTGTTGCCAGCTTGGGTCCCAGGCCTCCCCTGGGGTCTGGGGAGCATCAGTTCTACCAGAAAAAGAAAGAATGAGAGTGGGGAGGATGAAGTCCCCAAGTGGAGTGGGGGCCAGTTATCAGTACTAGGCAAATGATGCCCGGAGCCCGAAACGGCAAATGGCCACTGCACATCCCACTCAAGGAGACACCTTGGTAGGGGGTGGCTGAGCCGGGGGGCCTTCTGGTGGCCAACGGCAGCAGCACGAGTTGTCCTGGGAGACCAGGCCTGGGCAGTGTGCGCTGGGACCTGTATTTTACGTAAGAACTATCATGACAGAACTGCCAAGAGCTGACGTGGACAAGACAAACTGCCAGCTCCTCTCTGGACTCGCTTGCTCATGCCTCCAGCCCCTGGTGTGTCTGGGCACCATCCTAGGCCTGGAGAGGCAGTGGCGAGCCAGAGAGAGAGCGAGCCAGTGAGCCCTGCTCCCAGTAGGGAACTATCTAGTGGCGGCAGACAGACAATAAACAGGGAGGAAATAAACAGGGAAGCACTGCGAATTTTCTATGAAGGACACGCTTCGAGGGAAGGAAGCAGACTATGCTGAGGGAGGGGGGACATCTGAGCTCAGTCCTGAAGGATGAAATGAAACCAGCCACCAGCAGGTCTGGAGTATGGGGGAGAGAGTCCCTGAGAGTGGGACGGTCGGTCAAGGGCTCAGATCTTAAGGCAGGAACAGGCATGCGGAGGAGGGGCTGGTGAGAGGCAGATCCCATCAGGGCCCCTGGGAGGCCCCAGGAGGGACCCCATGGGCAGCACTGTGGTTGACAGACCCTGAGTCCGGCTGGGGCCTCTTCCCCAGCTCAGCGCCTGTGCAGGGATCGGGGGTGGGGACCGGGGCGGCCCGCTATTTTGGGGGGCCTCCCCTGCCTCCTGGGGAGATGCTCGTCCTCCTGCCAGGCTGGCATCCTGGTCAACAGTGCGGGTGCCGCCTGTCACGGGCTTGCCACTGGGAAGGGCTGGCCCCGTCTCCCCCAGGTCGTGGAGGAGAAGTCTCGTCATGAAGAGGAGAACTCGAAAGCACCCAGTTTCCCATAAGACAGCTCTGAGGGAAAACACCTTATAAAGCTCCCAACCAATCAGACTAAGGTGTTCTTCTGGGGTTCTGAGGCCCTCACAAGCCCTCTGACCCTAGGCCGGTTTGCTTTGCCTCATCTGTCTTATATCTAATGAACGAGGGCCCAGACCACACAGCCACCCTGTGTTTTGGTGGTGTGGCCTGCGCCGTGTTATGGTGGTGTGGCCTCTCCTGTGTTTTGGTTGTGTGACCTGTCCAGGGTTTTGGTGGTGTGACCTGTCCAGGGTTTTGGTGGGGTGGCCTGTCCTGTGTTTTGGTGGTGTGGCCTGTCCTGAGTTTTGGTGCTATGGCCTGTCCTGGGTTTTGGTAGTGTGGCCTGTCGTGTGTTTTGGTGGTGTGGCCTGTCCTGTGTTTTGGTGGTATGACCTGTCCTGGGTTTTGGTGGTGTGACCTGTCCTGGGTTTTGGTGCTGTGGGTGGTCCCCATGAGCAAGTGCAGTGATGTGATGATTGATGGGGCTCTGGGCTCTTGTGTAGGGTCCTGGAGAGGCCCGCTGCTTAGAGGGGGTGGTGGGTGGGGTCAGCTCCGCCCTTCTTAGGATTTCCTCTTTATTTAAGAAGGTCAGGTGACCCTCCGGAGCTCTCCTATTTACTTCTAGTAAATGCTGTCAGCCCATCACCTTCACAGGTAAGGATCTCAGAAGACAGCATTGTGGGGCAAATGGTGTCCCCCCCCAAAGCTATGTCAAAGCCCTACCCCCGGGAGTGTGAGTGTGACCTATTTGGAAATAGAGTCTCTGCAGATGTCATCAACGTAAGATGAGGTCCCAATGGATTGGGGTGGGCCCTGATCCAATGCCTGGCGTCCTTATAAGAAGGTGGAAGTTTGGACACAGGCACACAGAGGCAGAGCCTGGAGTGATCTTTGTGTCTCCAGGCAAAGGGGCACAGCCAACCACCCCCAGAAGCTGGAAGAGGCAGGAACCGAGCCTCCCTCAGAGCCGGCGGAAGGAGCCAGCCCTGCTGCGCCTTCCTCTTGAAGCTCTGGCCTCTAGAACTAGCGAGACGCTGAATTTCCCTCATTTTACATAACCACCCAATTTATGGCCCTTTGTGACGGCCGCCCCAGGAGGCTCACAGACGGCTCTGACAGCTGCTTCTCCAACTGATCCTGGTGAGAACTAACACAGGCATCCGCAAGAGGACCGAAAGACAAAATAGAAAACAGACAAAAATTCTCCTATATTTGTAGGATTATGAACGCTTTTTAGCTTTTTAAAAAAAATAAACGTTTATACATCATCATAAATAATATTTAAAAAGGAAAGCAGGTACCACTCAGAAAGTGCTCTTTCGGTTCTTCACAGACGCGGTAGGACCGCTTCCCGCTGCTTTGCCAACTCCCGGGATTGCATCGAGGAGGAAACGACATGGAATACGGAGCTTCTTCGTAGACTGGAAAAGACAGCTCAACAATGTCATTTACAGCATTAACTTGAGGGGAGCCACAGACCCCAGAAACTTGTTGACCTTAAAACAGGAAATGGAAAAGTGCTTTTTAGAATTCATTTTCCCTGAGTGAGCAAATAAATGCATTCTCAGCAATTTAAGTGATTCTCAATGGGTCCTCGATGTTTAAACCCCACAGACTGTCTCAGCACATGCACATCCTACACAGGATTGCGTTTTCACCGGCGCTGGCATTAAATCGTACATTTAAATAGAAATCGAGAACTTGAAGATGGGGGTTCCCTTTGGACTATCATCCCCATAGTATAGATGGTCTAATTTTAGCCATCGGCTGATGATGGTCTTTCTTTCAACTTGGATTACTTGGATATTTTTCAAAAATTTAAGTAGCATATGTTTTCAACGTTAATAAAGAGGTTTTACATTTCAGTGGAGAGCTGAGCAATACAAACACGCAGTGCCAAGCTCACTGGAGGCTCAGTGAGAAGTCCCCGCCCCTTCCCCGGGGGACAGGGGTGGGAAGAAAACTGTGGAAACCCCATTTATCACTCCAAGTAATGGGGATAGGCCACAGCATCCGAGGGAATGTTGGCGAAACCACTGGGAACCGTTCCTTTAAACACACAGCGTTCCAAAGAAGATGGTCCCCTCCCTGTTCCCACCCTGCCCTTTCACTGCTTTCAGAGTTAACCTTTTCATCATCGGAAATTCTGAGGATGTGCGAAGTTTATAATGACATTCAAAGGCTAGAGAAGTTGAAAATGTGGACAAAGCTTTGAGCAGATAAATAATAATGGCATATCATGTTCCTAATATGGTTCATTCAAGTTTAGAGAAGGGAGTGGATTCTCTGGAGAAAACATCAAAGGAGGGTTGTTTTGTCTGGAGAGGAGAACGGCAGAGGAAATGACAGCTTTTTCTACAAGATGAAGAGTTATTACCAGGGGAGAAGCTGTCTGTCATTCCTTCATCTGCCCCGGGGACAGACAGGCGAGCAGTGATGGGGGTGGACTCTGCTTCCCTGCTCCTCGGGGCCCCCCAGCATGTCTGGCACATTCTTCAGGGAGCCCTCTGGGCAGGAAGAAGACCCTGGACTCTGTCAGGGCAGCTTCTTCCTGGAGGCCCATTGCCCACCCGTCCCACAGTAGCCTGTCGCCAACACTGTCCCGCAGGGGCATCTTCTCCTCATGCATCCCCCGTTCTGGTCTGCCCTCCTCCCTGTGCACTCTGTTTTCTCCACGACACTTCCAGCTACACTGCTCAGGCAGTGTGTGGAATAGTAAAGGAAAATGGCTGGGGGGAAAGGGGAAAGTCAAAGATCCGAGTCAAGCAAAGACCTATGTCTACAGAAAACCCTTTGGAAGACCCCCCTGGGCCGGATTCAGATTCCGTACACCCTCATGTTTCTGATGTCTCAAGACATGAACGGATCGGTGTCTGCTATTTTTATTTTATAGAATAGATGCTCTATGGTGCTTATCATGTGACAGGCACTGTTCTCAGTACTTCATAGATATTAATTTATCTTCTGCTCTTACAAGAAAGGCAAGTACTGTTAGGAACCCTACCTTACAGATGAAGAAATCGGGCCCAGATGGGACGAAGAGCTCACCCAGAACCCCAGAGCCGGGAAGTAGAGATGATGGCAAATGTACGCTGCCCCGCTGCTTCTCACATTGATGTAAAGTGTAATTAAACACACCCACACAAATGCAAGAAGGAAATGAAACAACTCCTGTGCGTGTGTGGAGCACACACGGGTCACGTGTGCACGTAGGCAGAGATAACCGTGGGCGGTCCTGGGAGCTCGACTCAACGCAGAGTCCCGACTTCTTGAGCCTAAATCAAACCCCATCATTGTTTGTGTGAATGCTGTATTATTTGCCTTGATAAATTCATGTTTCTCAAAACTGTAGCAACCGTTACTCCTTCAGACAAAGCTGGTCCCGTTAGAGGACCTGCCCATCCCCTGTCTCCACTTCCTCTTTCCCAGTCTCGCAGCTCATGCTCGTCAGCGCTGGGCGGACAGCGATGTTTTCTCTGGTTGGTATGAAGACCAGGCTGTAAAGGAAGTTGGCCCGAAACCGAAAGGGCACATCTTAATTTAATTAGAGCTTTCTTAGTTGAGCAACGTCTGTCTTCCTCACAGAAAGGAGATGAAGAAATGAAGGTTTGTGGTGGGGAAAATGAAGGAGCCCAGTATTAAAGGGGATGTGCACAGTTTCCTAACCTCTTCTGCCCTTGTAAACATCTTGTACAGAAATACAAAATCTCAAGACCCAGGGAGAATTTTTAAAATCATACCATCATTTTTGCATGGTACATGATGAAGAAGCAATTTCAAGCTCAAGAAGCGTTTTTTTGTTCAGTATATCATTAAAGATTGCACTACAACATTTATTTTAACACAATTATTTTTATAATATATAAAGACACATTTCAGCTATCCCTATTGAAACAGTGACACTCTCCATTTAATTTATTTTAAAATGATTATGTGATAAAAGCATGATTTGTCAACAAATGTATTTTTAAAAATTTTATTTTTACTTTTTCTCCCCAAAGCCCCCCGGTACATAGTTGTATATTTTTAGTTGTGGGTCCTTCTAGTTGTGGCATGTGGGATGCCACCTCAGCATGGCTTTATGAGCAGTGCCATGTCCATGCCCAGAATCCGAACTGGCAAAACCCTGGGCCACTGAAGCTGAGCATGCAAAACTAACCACTTGGCCACGGGGCCAGCCCAAAAGTTTTCTTTTTTTTTTTTTGAGAAAGATTAGCCCTGAGCTAACATCTGCCACCAATCCTCCTCTTTTTGCTGAGGAAGATTGGCCCTGAGCTAACATCTGTGCCCATCTTCCTGTATTTTATATGTGGGATGCCTGCCACAGCATGGCTTGATAAGCAGTGTGTAGGTCCACACCTGGGATCTGAACTGGCGAACCCCAGGCCGCCAAAGTGGAAAGTGTGAACTTAACTGCTGCACCACTGGGCTGGCCCAACAAACGCATTTTTAAATGAAATACTATATCCTGTTTGGTTTTGGCTCATCACATAGACTAAAATGTAGACGGGCATCTACCTTCATGCTGTAACATCAAAAACAGACAAAAAACACAGTCATGGTTTATCAGGAATTCTTGCATTTTGTTCTTTGAAAAGCAACTGATTTATTTTTATAATATTTATATTTTTTTATGGTCACTAGGTGTCACATATGCTTAATTAATAAGCTTTTAGACGTGCCATAGAAAATTATTCCATCTTACATGGAAACTGTTTATATCATTACTTCATTCTTTGATACAAAAAAAGGAAATGTTCTTATCACTTAGCAATGTGACCTCCCTGGAGGGAAGCTTGATTCTGACGTCTTGGCACGCAGTTTTTGGGTTTATACAGTTGGGGATTTACTCTGCTTCTTGAATTTGTAGGTTTGTGTCTTTTGCTAAATTTGGGAACTTTTCATCCACATTTCTTTGAATACTTTTTTAGCGCCACCTTTCTCTTCTCCTTCTGGGACTCTGAGGACAGGAAAGTTTGACCTTTTGTTGTAGTTCCACAGGCTCCTGAGGCTCGGTCCATTTTTTTCTCCAGCCATTTTCTCTGTTGCTCAGATTGGGTAATTTCCGTTGTTCCACCTTCAAGTTCACTGGTTCTTTCCTCTGTCCTCTCCATTCTGCTGTTGAGCCATTGCACTAGGTTTTTCATTTCAATGATTGTATTTTTCAGTTCTAAAATTTTCATTTGGCTCTTCGTTGTGTCTTTTATTTCTTTGCTGAGAGTTTCTATTTTTTCATTTGTTTCAAATGTGTTTGTAATTGTTCACTGAAGCAGGGTCTTTTTGATGGTGGCTTTAAAATCTTTGTCAAATAATTCCAACATCTGTGTCATCTTGATGTTGGCATCTGTTGAGTGTCTTTTCTGGTTCAAGCTGAGATTTTTCTGGCGCTTGGTATGATGAGTAATTTTTTTACTGTAGTGTGAATATTTTGATTATTCTGTTATGGGACTCTGGATCTCATTTACGACTTCTTCTTTAGTAGGCTCCCTTTGATACCACACTGATAGGGAGATGAGGACACTGTCTCATCACTGCCAGGTGGGGGTGAAGAACCAGTTTCTTCAAGGAGGGGCTGCAAGGATGGTACCCAGCCCTGTGCTAGGCTCCTCCCACCCCCTGGCTGTGATGGTGTCAGGCCTTCTTCTCACTAGACAGTGGTGGACATTCTGGTCTCGGCTCCCCACTCAGCCTTTGCTGGTGGGGGTGGGGACGAGGCCTTGGATTTCTCCATGGAGTCTGGATGGTGCAGGGCAGCTATTGTGTCAAAGTCGTGTATCCTACCAGGCTGCCCCTTTGGCCAGAGAGAGCAGGCTCTACTTGGGACGTTTTTGTTTGTGCCCTTTGGCATTCCTGGTTGCCGGCTTCTCCAACATCCAGTTTAGGATATATGAACTCACCACTGTGTCTGGCTGGTCTGCATTTTCTCTTCATCTTTTGGAGTCTTTTCATGTTTATTTCATATATAATGTCCAGGGATTTTTGCTGTGCCCAGTGGGAGGAATAGGGAGATGTGTGTCTATTCCATCCTGGTCTCAAATTGGAAATCCCCGTACTATCTTATAATATCACTTTCTTTGACTCCGTCAAGAATTGTTCTTCCTTCGGTCATTCCCATTTTTCAGGTCTTGTTTGAGACCTTCTGCAGCAGAGTGTGCCAGAACGAACGTGGGTTTTGGAATTAGGCGGATTCATGTTTCACTCTAGCGCTGTGAGTTAGGCGCTGTGTGATCCAGGTAAACTACCAACTTTGTTGTGTTCCAGCTGCTTCTTCTGTAAAATGAGTATCATGCTTCCTGTCTTATAGGGTTAGGAGCACTCACAACAATGCACAGTGCCTGGAATTTAAGGTTCTCAGGAACTGGTAATTAGTACTATCAACACTTTTCCTTATGTTGCCATCAAATGTGATGGTTTAATATAGGGTCTGTAAAAAAAAAAGCTCAAATATTATGTTCAAAGAACATTTGTTTACGATTTGGCATCTCTTGTAAAAGTTTTCCATGTGGCCCCTGCAGCACCCACTGGCCCACTCTGGGCCCCAGGCGTAGGGGGCCACCGATGGGCAGCATTGACCTGGTTGGATTTTAACAGGGGATGATGACAGGTGTCTGCCTTCATCTAACTCCAACTGCTTTGTGTGTTCTGAAGGTTCCCTTTGTGACTAGAGCCTCGAGGAGGCATAACATTGACTGAGTGAGTGCCTTCTACCTTTTTATCAAATTTTGTTGTAAAATGTGGGAAAGGCAAAGGAGCACAGTCATGTCCAGGTGTAATCTCCCGCTGTGGGTGTTGTGCTCATCCATCGGCTCCTGTTCCCAGCCTGGAGGACACCCACAGGGGCTCCCACCGGGAGATGCGAAAACATGGAAAGCGCTGGTTGTGAGCTTGAAGGCCCCACTGGGGGGCTTATCTACCCAGTTAGGGTGATAATTTCAGTGCATGTGGATGCACACGGTAACACGCACAACACCCGGGGATATCCCAGAGCTGGAGGAGGCAAGGGACATGCTCTAAGCCTGACCAGACCTGCCTTCTCCTGGTGCCTCTCCGCCCTTGGATCCGCCTCTGCATGTTCTGCCAACCAACAGCCGGCACCAGATCCGTAATTCCTTTACCAGGAGAGACTATGAGTTGCAGAAACACGTTAGTCTGTGTGCCCAAGTTCAGATCGTAGAAGCCTTGTTTTCAGGCCCTGCTTCACTGGCACTGAACCCTGGTCCGGGGCAGCCTGTGGCCAGATGTTCCCAAGTGTAGAAAAAAACGAAAGTGATAGCTTGAATGTCTTTAACTTTTGTGTCATTCTCCTATAAAAATGCTTTTTAATTTTCTCTGATACCTGTTGCTTTTTTATACTAGAAGTTGGAGTAAAAGCAAATGTACGATTTGATCTAGCACAAAATGTTATATTTAATTATAGTCAGTCAGATATATCAACAGTTCATGTGAATAAGTTGGAGAAACATTAAAGAACAGAAAGTTCCGTTGTGTTCTTTAATTTTAGCTGACAGTGCTCCTGCTGGCTGCTCACCGGCTGAATGACAATGAAAAAACTGCTTTACTTCTCAGAGCCTCAGTTTCCCCATTTGTAAATGGAGATAATAAGAGTCCCACCTGTTACCAGATTATATGAGTTAAAAGATCAAAGTGCTTAGAAACTTATTTGGTAGATTAGAAATTCTACTTAACGTCAGCTATTTTTTTTTTATTGTGACTAAACAGAATAATAAAAATGCTACAGGGCAATTCTTGTCCAACATTCACTTTGCAATGTGCCTGCCCTCCTCGTGATTGCTGTGGTTGCATCTGCATTTCTGGGCCCCTCTGGTTGGTGTACACAACAAATAGCTGCATGTCTGGAGACTGGTGCCCCCTGTGTGGCCCTAGAACGCTCTTTGCTCCAGCTGTTCAGGGGCAGTCTTGCTAGGGTTTGCTCTTCGAATCTCATATCCTATTATATATGTCTGTCATTTATCCTTCACATTTGGAAAGATTTGCTGAAATTGGTTTTGTGTCTAAATACACTGTTTATAGTAACTACGGGATGGCTCACAATGCCCTATGATAGTTCACTTGTATGCCAGCAAATTCCCTGGCACCCACAGTGCTTGAGTCCCAGGCCCATCTCCCGGGGCCATGCTGCACTTTAAGACTTAGAGTGGGGCCTTGAATTATGCCGAGTCCATTTGCCCTTTCAGAAAACATTTACTGGTTCCTTCCTAGTGTCTTCTGCCCTCCTAGTTGATGGCCAATTAATGATGCAATGATTTGTCCCAGTATCTTCCCGGATGTTCATTCCAAGATGAGCAGTCTGTAATCAGGTCCTAGCCCACCTCTTTTAAAAGATGGTCACACCGTTTCTTTCCAGATCCGCAATAGATCTCCCCTGTCCTCTAGGACTTCTCACATGATGGCTCATGTCCCATTGTGACGCCTGCCAACGCCTAATGTGGCCCAGAGAGTACACCACCAGGCTCCCCTAAAGAAACAGATCCTTTGCAAGGTGATATTCAATTATTCATTTTCCTTTAGTAATCTGCCTTTTCATCCATGCATCTCACACGGGAATGTGCAAATTTGGTGTTTGCAGAAAGAAGTGTTCTTCAGCAAAAATAATGAACTCAAACATTTAAAAAAATATACTCTGTTTTTCTGCTTTCTTCTTTCAGGGATGGGGATTTTCCTTTATTTAATATATTTGAAAAACGTTAATATTTCTTATTTCTTCTGTGCTGTGGAATCTTCTTAAGTTTGCCACTATAGAACTGTGCTGTTCACTAAGACCCTATCTCTAGGATCTGGTTTGACTGTGACTTTGTGAGGAAGCAATTTTAATATTCAGTTGGGGGTTGC